ATATAGTTGCGCGCTAGATTCTTAATTTAGCGACTGTACGCTTTTTTCAACGGCGCAAAACAGCCTATATTAAGCGGCTATAATAGATATAAAGCGTGTAGCGGTATATATAGCGTAATAATATTGTTCTCTTTATAAAGCTTTTTAAATTTAAGTAAGTTATAGCTTTTATAACTATCTAAAATAAGTAAGTAATATACGCCTATAGTGCGGTCCTTTATATATATATTAAAATATTGCAGCTATATAATACTAAGCTTATTTATTATCCAGCTATTATTATTTACTGCTATAGCCTAGTCTAGCAGTATATTACTGCCCTTATACTATATAGAGAGGTAGTACTTACCTGCAAGGATAATAAACAACAGGATTACCTATCTATATGCGTTAATAGCCTTAATTATAGTAGCCTACTCGCGATTACCTAGTTATATAGCTTTTAGTTAATTTTATTTCTTAGAGCCTGTAATAACTACTTCTATTAAGATAACACCTATTTAGAAGCCGGTTTTATTAAAGTTATAGAAGTTATTATCTATAATACTATACTTCGCCTTTATATTATATATAAGCTTAAACTATAGTATAATAATCCTTAGATTTTCATATAGAGCTTTCTAGTAATTATACTTTTAATTAAACTATATTTAAAGCTTATTGGTCCGCTTAACAAAGTTATATAGCTAGTTTTTACTAACCTGGCCGGCACCGCGCTCTCTAAGTAACTTATTAGCTATATCTCTTACAGCGTTTAAGCTAAGCGTAAACCCTTATAAATCTAGATTAAGTATATATTTAATAATAACTAATTTCTTTAGCTTTATAAGCTTTTTTAAATTGGGCTTATAATCGCGTTAAGTAGTAGTTCCGGCGCGTCGGTTTTAGAGCATGCTTCTAGAAATATTGTACGTTGTAATAGCGCGTTACTCGCTTTAAAGTTAATTTTTATTAATTGCTAAAATAGCTAGGCAGATTCGGCCTTCTTTTTAGATTAATTATATATTATATTATTAAGATATAGTAGTTAAAAGCTAACGGAGCGCGTTTTAGTAATAAGATAGCCGGCTTACTTAGGTGGCCGGCTCGCTTATATTGCACGTTATGCTATTTACTTAACTTTTAGGATTATATAAAGTATTTAAGGTTTTTATAGTTAGTAAGTACTATAAACTTTTATATAGATTATAGCTTAGAGTTCTATTCTTCTAAGTACCGGATAATTACTAGTATTTCCTTATTATAAATCTTATAATATACTCTATAAGCAAGCGGGCTACCTAAGTAAGTAGGCTACTCTATTACTAAAACGCGATGTAAAATATAAATTGCTCTATAATACTAATAGATATTAACTTAATATAACTTATAGTCTAATCTATAACAATTTCCTTATCTTTTTAACACGTATAAGCGTTATATTCTATCTCGCCGCAGCGCCTACAGCGCGCTTGCTGCCGTGTACTTCCACCCGGGCGCCTTCTATTTTAACGCATTTCGCCCTTAATTTATTTATTAGCTTTTTTTTAAGCAATTATTTCAGAGCCCTATATTTTTATTAGAACTTTTTACCTCTAAATTTGCTTTTTTTTGCGCTTTCTACGCTTTATAGCGGCCTTATTTACCTTTTAAAGGCTTATAACCTAATTACGCAATAATATAGCCCTATATATCTATACTTCGGCGCCTTTAATAAGTAAATTAAGCAACTTAAAAATTGCAGTAGGAAAGCTATTTTAATATATTTAAATGCGATTATAAATTAATACTAATTAAGAGCCTAGCTTAAGAATATTGCTTAGTATTTTTAATTCCTATTAAGCCTTTACAGCGGCAAGTAATAGTATATAAAGTATAATATTAAGCTTTAAAAGCACTGCTTCTAGATTAAGCAGTATAAGGCCAGCACCTTAAAAGCTTACGCAGATATTACTCTTTATAAACAAGTTATTAAATACTGCTTTAAAAGCTGGTAGAAACTCGAGCTTTATAATATAGTTAATATAGTTATACACTAAATCCTTAATTTAGCGACCGTACGCTTTTTTCAACGGCGCAAAACAGCCTATATTAAGCGGCTATAATAGATATAAAGCGTGCGGCGGCATATATAGTATAATATTATTATTCTTTTTATAAAGCTTTTTAAATTTAAGTAAGTTATAGCTTTTATAGCTGTCTAAAATAAGCAGGTAATATATACCTATAGTGCGGTCCTTTATATATATATTAAAATATTGCAGCTATATAATACTAAGCTTATTTATTATCCAGCCGTTGTTACTTACTGCTATAGCCTAGTCTAGCGGTATATTACTGCCCTTATACTATATAGAGAGGTAGTACTTACCTATAAAAATAATAAATAGTAGGATTACCTACCTATAAGCGTTAATAGCCTTAATTATAGTAGCCTACTCGCAATTACCTAGTTATATAGCTTTTAGTTAATTTTGTCTTTTAGAGCCTATAATAACTACTTCTATTAAAATAACACCTATCTAGAAGCCGGTTTTATTAAAGTTATAGAAGTTATTATCTATAATACTATACTTTGCCTTTATATTACGCATAAGCTTAAACTATAGTATAATAATCCTTAGATCTTTATATAGAGCTCTCTAGCGGTTATACTTTTAATTAAACCGTGTTTAAAGCTAATTAGTCTGCTTAATAAAGTTATATAGCTAATTCTTGCTAACCTGGCCGGCACCGCGCTTATTTAGCAGCTTATTAGCTATATTTTATACAGCGCTTAACCGCGGTGCAAATCCTTTTAAATCCAGGTTAATTATATATTAAATAATAACTAATTCCTCTAGCTTTATAAGCTTCTTTAAATTGGGCTCGCAATCGCGTTAGGAGGTTGTTCCGACGCATTGTCGTTAAAGCGTGCTTCTAGGGACTTCGAAGGTTGTTGCAGCTTGTCGTTCGCTTTAAATTTGGTTTTTATTAATTGCTAAAATAGCTAGGCATATTAGGCCTTCGCTTTGGACTAGTTGCGCGTTGTGTTGTTAAGGTATAATAGTTGAAAATTAACAGAGCGCGTTTTAGTAATAGGGTGGCCCGCTCGCTTAGGTAGCCCGCTCGCTTAGGTAGCCCGCTTGCTTGTAGAGTATATTAGTTATATTCGGCCAGTAGGTTCTTTTTAGAGAAATAGGCGCATGCTCTTAAAATACCCTTATTATTAACTTATAAGAGGGTTCCCCTAACTATATAGCTAGAGGAATCTGCTTTTAATACTATTATCTAGTTAGGGTTAAAGTTTACTAGCACCGGTTCTGTTATAAAGGCTTCTTTTAGCTAGTTAATACTTTTTATTCTTTCTCTATTTATTAGAAGGTATTATCCTTCCTAGTAAGCTAAATAAAAAGTATTATAATCTTAGAAAAGTCCTTAATAAAGTAGTAATAGAAGTTAGCAAATCTAATAAAACTTTATACCTCCTTTACTAATATAGGCGCTTACTATTCCTATACTGCTTTTACTTTATCCGGGTCTATCTAGGTACCTTTTCTAACCTTAATAATAAACCTAAGGTGCTTTATATACGTTGTTTTAGATTTGTACTTCCTAATATCTAGCTAGAGGCCGGCTTTATTTAGCCTACTTAGTACTTAATACACCTGCTTATAGTACTTTTTTTAGAATCTATTTATATATATTAGTATATTATCTATATATACTAAGTAGAACTTATCTAATAACCCTTATAGGGCCTAATTAATATACTTCTAGAAGGTGCTTAGGGCCTCTATAAAACTAAACAGGGTTACTATTACCTACTTATATAATTTATACTATATATAGAATGCGGTCTTCTATTAATTTCCTATTTTAATATAAATCTAGTAAAAGGCTGCAGAGATATCTAGCTTAGTAAACTATTTAGCCTTACTAATCTAAGTAAAGGTCTCTTAAATAAGTAGCAGTAGGTAGTAATTCTTTTTTATAATTTAGTTTAGGGCTTAGTAGTCTATATAGAATTATAGGCCTTTTTTTAGCTTATAGATAAAAAGTACTAGTATAGCAGTAGCAGAATTACTTACTTATATAAAGTTTTTATTTAGTAGGTTAGTTAGTATATAATATAGAACTAAGAGTTCTTCTTTTAATATACTATATAAAGGGCCCTAAAAGACTTCTACTTTCTTATCTTCTGCTATACGTTCTAGGTTAATTATATAGTTAATTTAAGGGCCTTATAGCAGAGGTAGTTTATTAGCTTTTCTTAGCGTAAATATAAGGTATTTATCTCTAGTTTAAGCAGGTAGCTTTTCTTAGATCTCCTTATTGCTAAGCTTTTTCTTTAGTTAGAGTGCCTTAGTAATATCTACTAGGCTAGCTGTAAAAACCTTAATTTTATAATTTTTTTTAGCTCTTTAGTTCTATTATATATAAGCGGCTGCTAATATAACCTAGTAGTTATAGCAGGATACAGCTTTCCCTTTATTACTCTATATATAGATTCTTAATATATAGATAAAAAGCATCTTTTTTTTAGGGCAAGCTATATATTAAACCGGTTTATTTATAGTTATTCTAGGATAAAGTCCACCTCTAAGGTGTTATTTACTATATAGAAATATAATATTTCTTAATATTCTTTAATATCTAGCTTTAGTTGTACAATTTCCCTAATAACCCCCGGCTTACTACCTACCTCTATAATAGGTTATAGTTTAATTAGAAGGTATTCTAGATAAATATAGTTAACAGTTTTTATATTTATTAACCTATAATATAGGTACCCTAAGTTAACTATAGCCTATATATTAGATAACTAGTTTATAAAAGTAGAAATAGTAGAAGGTGCTAATATTATATATTCTGCTTTAAAAAGTTTCTATTCTATTACTAATTTATTTTATTCGGTAAGCAGCTCCTGTCTATATCTTCTAATAGGAGCTAATTTTTTTTCTAGTTGCTAAGGCTATTATATAGACTATTATCTATCTTAAAAAATACTGCGGCTGCTTACGCCGGCTTTTTTATTTTAGCTAGACACCAGCAAGAGAACGACAAGATGCTGCGCACAGCCGACCACAATCCCCAAGCGCCGCATTTGATAACTCGGGTGAGGACGACACTACGGAAGAGGATCGAAGTTCAACCGACGACGATGCAGCCCACTCCGATGACTCATCTAACTTAGATAATGTAGGTTCTTCTGACACACAAGTAACCATCAATGGAGCTAGCAACAATTCCCAACAGCTTGCGAATACCACCAGCACTGCAAACTCCTCAAGTGAAGTCTTCGACTGGAGAAGGGTAAGTTTCCATAAAGTAACGATGAAGTTATTGCCACACGTACTTACCCCTTCATAGCTCTTCAAGAAGTTAAGCAAAGGAGCCAAGCGGCCTTCGGCTAAGGTGTTGTGACGGACCAGATCGATGTCCGGAGCCGCTGCGGGGTTAGCTGGATCCTGGTTACCGCCCGGGAGCAGCCTTATGCCTGTCTCAAAGTGACTTCACAGGCCGGGGACTGTTTCGAGCGTGCTATAAAAATGGCGACTATATAATCTCATCAAACTTCTCAGATGTCTGTTGCCCTAAGCGAACTCTCATTCCTGGCACTTCCCCGTCTAGTCGCACTGAAAATGCCTCCCGTTACTATATACCAACTTCCGTCTTCCAATATCAGTTTCGCAAATAGGTTTGGGAGCCCAGAGTGTTGTACTCCTCTACCACGACATCTTCTCTTTCTTCGTCCTAGTAGCAAGCGTTGGGTCTAATTGGCCACTAAGGAATGTTTAATGCGGCGCTACACACGCACTCAGAGAGAACCTCCTCAATTTCAACATCTCCGAGGGGTATACAAGAGCTAATCGCGTACCATACTTCTACTATATAGCTTGGGACTTGCTTCCTTGTCGCATCACAGCAAAATCCGCAAGTTGCTAGGGCGTTTCTGGTCTCGACTGTTCCTTTGAAACTGATATCCGGTCCCTTTCTAATCAAGAGATATGACAGGTCTTGGAAAGGTGTCGGACTTTTCGGATTTACTATTGGGATTGTTAATTGATTCTCTTTTGGTTGGAGATGTAGGAGACTAGCAGTTGCACTCCCCCTTCCCATAACATCGATATCTCGTACGGTTGACGAGCATTATGAATGCGGTACGTTATATTATGGCGCCCAAAATTAAGATGAAAATAGCGAGTAAGCTTGGCGCGGCTGTGTGATTTATGTTTTTCTGCCTAGGACAGCCGTGTTGGGGTTTGAATGCTGCTAAACGTACTACCAAGATATAATCGCTTTGAACGACGAAAATACGTCCTTTTTGGATTCAATCTGCAACACGCACATTGGCGTGGGGCTGTTGAAGGTCAGGTATATACATAACGCAACCTCGCATCAAGTCAGGTTTCGGCTGCAAACCGCTGAGTTAGGCACTATCCACTATTTTTCACATAGAACTACCATTCGCGACCCTAGGTGTGAGCATGATATGTGGTGGAGATAGAGCCGGAGATCACGGGGTAGGCATATATTGCGCCTGGGGAATTGGGGGAGGCAACTTATTTATTTATGTTTGGAACGACAACGAGCGGAAGTCAGATGTGGATATTCCTTTTAATCTACATAGCGATTGTCATGTGAAGAGGGTTCCGGACGCCTTGGAAAGGCACCGAGCCACGTTAAGCTCACCCATCTGTCGGGTTCAAAATGGCGTGCAATCCTTAGCCTTCCTAGTGATGAGATGCTTAGGATCATTCTAATCTAGGTCCGGTAGTATCCTTCTAGCTTTAAAAAGGAATTTTCTGACATATTGCAGGGGGACGGGTAATTTAACACCCCCTTTCGAGTAGCCGCACACCCCTTTTCGAGTAACCACACACCCCCTCTCGTCTGATCTTTTGATTGGCTGAAACGGCTCGGAGCTTCGTCCGGAGCTCTATTATCACGTGCATTTGCACGTGTAGCCTTTCTTATTCACTTAGCCGTACGTGAGCTCATACGTAAGGCTATACAAATCGGCATGGCTATACAGCCTCTCTATTTTACAGTGCATTCTTTCCGATTCGTGTGGCCTTACATATGAGCTCACGCACGGCTGTATATACGGCTGCACGAATTGGAAAGAATGCGCCGTAGAACGGAGAGGCTGTATAGCTATGCCGATTCGTATAGCCTTACGTATAGCCTCAAGTACGAGCTCACGTACAAGCTTATATACGAGCTCACGTACAAGCTTACATATGAGCTCACGTACAAGCTCACGTACGAGCTCACGTACGAGCTCATGTACGGCTTCGCGTATAGCATCACGTGCAGAGAGATGTAAAGGTGAATGCCCGGAGGAAGCTCCGCGCTGCTCCGAGCCAATTAGAAGGTGGTGAAACGACAGGGGGGAGGGGGTGTACGTGTAGTGAAAAGGGGGTGTGCGTGTAGCGAAAAGGGGGTGTGCGTGTTCTGATGTGAGCAACCGTGCACGACGTTGTTGCGTGCACGAGCTGGGGACCACTTCTAAACCCTCACGACCCTCCCGATCCTCCTGCTCACATACCCTTCACTATCACTTGGACCACGATTGCACGTTCCAAAACCTAGCTTTTGAGTCTCTGGCGCATCGGACGGAGTCTCCGCGCTTGCTGCCGGCAACGTCATCATTAGCAAAGCCTCCGAATCCCTTCAGCACTCTCCTCCTCGGCCAGCTCGCTATTGACGCGGGCAGTCCTCCGGCGTCCTTAATATTCTCGTCGGCGCAGGCGAAGCCGGCGCAGCACTAGCTTCTCACCTCAAAATCCGAAAAATCTGCTTCACGGGTAGTGTCGCGACCCGCAAGAACGTACAGATCGCCGGAACTCGAACTTGGTGGCAAAAGTCCCGTGCTAATGTTCCCGGACGCAGAACTCGACCATGCGGCGCAGTCGGGCGCGAGCTTCATAGCGCTGAGTGGGCAGGGCTGTGTATTAGGCACACGGATTTATGTGCATGAGGATATAGCGGAGGCCTATCTTGGGAGGACTCAAAACGGTGCCCTTATTCTCTTTCCGTCGTCGCTCGCGCTTTGAAGCGGATCGCCGAGATCAGTCTGCCGCTGACAGATAACCCACGTTTACCCTGCCTTGAAGTCGAAATGCTTGGGATTAGATGGGCTCATCATGCCTTTTGAAGCTATTGACTGCTCCAGCGGTTCCATCACTGTCATGATGTGATTTCCACTGTCTTCTGATCGCGTTAGTCAAGGTGCGTGCTCTATGCTCCATTCGAAGCCCGTGCAATAGCAGAACAGCTCTGACGTAGGAACCGATTGAGGTTCGTTCCAGGAGCTCCCATCAAGTCACATGTTCCGCTGTCACATGTAGCTATCTTCCGGGTATCTGCCGTGCCAGAACATCATACGTGCAGGCGGCCGGTAGGCTGTGGCACGGCCATGGGCGCCATCTGCGCCTACGAAACGATTGGCTGATGCCGCAATCTTTCCGGTTCCTGTGCTGGCTTTCCCCAAATCTGCGACAGCGCAATCTGAACCTGCACTCAGCCCCCGCCGTCAGTACAACAGTACTGGCATCGTCCGTGCCAAAATCTTCTTGCATTGCTAATCTTAGCTTCGCTTAGCCTGCCATGGCTACTACGAGTGAGAAGCATCTCTATTTGCCGTTTTCCGCATCTCCTGTGCTTCTTTACATCATGGCTTTCGTTACTAAATATTGGTGAATCCCAAGATTTGCTGGCAATAGAACCCAACTGCCGAATGTTCAAAATTGGTTTTAGGGGCTCTCATCAAGCTTTCACGTCACGTAGCAAACTTATTATGAATCTAATTTGTGCATTTCTTGCACAAATCTATCTGTTTTTATCGCAAAACACACTCCAAAACTTAAAATCCAAACCACTGCTCCAGGGCAGCCTTCGCCGCATTTACGTCGTATTTCTTATTGTCTTCGGCTACCCAAGCAACAATTCCATCAGGTCGAATCAACAAGGCGCGGAGGTCGCGCCTGTCCTTTGCACCCACACAGACATAGTCGACTCTGCCCTCGAACTTCCCGCCAACAACCAGCTTCTTGAGCGCCGCGGCGCCCTCAAACTCGACAAGCAACCCGCGACCCCCATCCAGCTTGGGGCCCAGCCTCGCGCCATCAAGCAGCTCGAAATCCGGCGCGCTGCACCCGACGAACGGGTGTGCATGCGCCTCGCCGTCGCCGAGGGCGTACCGCTGCGACAGACCCCAAACGCGGTCGATGAAGAGGTTGGTCCCGTCGGTCGTGGCAATGAGGTCGCGGATGAGCGTATGGACCGCTGCGCCGTATGGGCCTGGCTGCAACGTTGAAACTTGCGCACGCGTCCACTCGAGCACCCAGGCCGCGATGGGGTGCCGCTCGCTCTCGTACGTGTCGAGCAGCGCCAGGTCCGTAGCAGCCCCGTCAGCTTCGGCTTCGCGGTGGACCGTCGCGGCGAGCTTCCAGCCCAAATTCATGGCGTCGCCGAGCCCGACGTTCAGGCCCTGCGCCCCGAGCGGTGAGTGGATGTGCGCGGCGTCACCGGCAACGAGGACGCGGCCATTGCGGTAGTGTGTCGTTTGCTTGGATCGGTCTGTATACGACGAGGCGAGGTGGACCGCCGTGATTATAACGTCCGTGGTGCCGACCACGCGGTTCAGAACGTCTTGAAGGTGCTCCTGCGTGATCTCCTTGGTTCGATCAAAGGCGGCGCTGTCGAAGTCCACCAGATGGACCGTGTCCGGCTTCATGAAGACATACATACCGTTCTTCGTGGCGTGGAACCCTGGCTTCAACTTCTCGGGATGATCGAAGTCACCCTTGACGGCGTATGCAGTGAACTTTGCCTCTGTGCCGACGAAGTCGAATCCAGCGGCCTTGCGAATCACGCTTCGTCCGCCATCGCATCCTACGAGCCACTTGCTGCGGAAAGTCTGGTTCTCTCCCGTCTCCACCGTGACGACTTCGTTGTCCTGTGCCACAATTCTCGTTACGCCGTTGCCCCTGAGGATCGTGACGCCCAAGCTTTCAGCACGCTCGGTCAGCACCGCCTCGACGCGCCCATAGTCGTTTGTTCAGGGACCAGAGCCGGTCCGGGGAGGCGGTACTTCCAACGGGTCAAGTCGAGTTTATTGGCGTTGAGCATGATACCGGCGAACTGGCCTGCGAACTGGATCCCGGCCGTCTTCTGGAGGACCGACGGCCGTTGGCCGGAGCCGACCAGCTTGTCCAGTAGCCCGCGCCGGTAGAAGCTCTCGACTGATAAGGTGTTCAAGCTGCGCCGTCCTAGCGGCGCAGTCTTCCAGGACGACTCGAGCGTGTCGTTGCGCTCGAGGACAAGCACAGAAACGTGTGCTAACCCTAGTTCGCAGGCGAGAAATAGCCCGATAGGCCCTGCACCGGCGATGACAACGTCGTAGAGCTTGCTCATGGCGATATGCGCCCACGATGCCACTCAGAATTCTTCAGAGGAACGATTGCCAGACTGGGAACGAATGAATATCTGGCGACTGCCTAGAATTAAGGTCCGTGCTGGCTGTAGAACTTGCTCGCTAACCAAAAACGACAGAAACAAGGGCAGCGCTGTTATGTATGTATACGCCTTGAACATCCACCCGTTAAGCTCGGGTTTTTTCTACTCCCCGAATGCGGTAGATACACGCACACCTTACAGCCACATCGGGGCTTTCGTAAGCTCCGGTCGGCTCTAGTAGAGTCCCGGCGAAATGTAGGACCCTCGGGCGCTTGCAAAAGCCGATCTCCGCCACAAAAATCAAAAGTTTCGAATATAGAACTATGGAATCAACACCTGCCAGCGACTTTGAATAAAATTTCATATCCAAGATACCGCTCATGACTTAAAAGCGTAAATATCATGGAAAGAGGGGAATTTCGATGGCTTTTCTATGACTTTCCATACGAAACTTTGGTGCTAGTGGTGAGGATCGATATATAAAAAACGCCGAAGGGGATGGGGAGGGCTAATCGTACACCCCCTAACGAATAATCGTACACCCCCTTTCGAATAATCATACACCCCCTACTTTACCGCTTCTGATTGGCTCGGAGGTCCGGCAGGAGGCCGCCGAACATTCACCCTTATGTCTATCTGCACATGCATCTCTGCCGTATGTGAGCTCGTACGTGAGACTATACGTGAGGCTATACGAATCGACATGGCTATACAGCCTCTCCGTTTTACGGCGCATCCTTTCCGATTTGTATAGCCTCACGTACGGCCTTACGTACGGCTATATAGCCTTTCCAATTTGTATAACCTTACGTACAGCCTCACGTACGAGCTGTATATACAGTTGCACAAATCGGGCAGGATGCACTGTAAAATGGAGAGGCTGTATAGCTATGCTGATTTGTATAGCCTCGCGTACGAGCTCACGTACGAGCTTATATACGAGCTTACGTACGGCAGTATATACAGCTGCACAAATCAGATAGGCTGCGCTGGAGGCTACGTGGCCGCATTTGGAGACAGCATGCGGAGTTAGTGAGCAAGTGAAGCGAGCCAATCGGAAGCTCTGGAGCAACACTCTAAGCCAATTAGAAGGCGGTGAAGTAACAGGGGAGTAGGGGGTGTACAATTAGTCGTTAGGGGGTGTACGATTATTCGTTAGGGGGTGTACAATTAGCCCTCCCTTTTATTTATTCTAATAAGCTTAGCTGCTATCTGCAGATGAAAAATTTGGCGATGCCGCATTTACTGATTTCGACCTAGGACATAGGGGCTTGATAAACTTCTCGGAGCCGCTTTGCACGGATCTACGCCGCGGTGGGGATGTTGTACCTTTCGGCTCCCTCGAATTGGCAGTTTGCGTAGCCTGAGCGGTGCCGACCAAGTCAAAACCCGGAGGACTACTGGTTGTCTGGGCAGAACTTGCTGGAGGCGAGTGGTTCACGATGTCCTCCATGTCCTCGTCGGCGTCTGAGCCAGAATCCGAATTGAGGGCTTGTTCACCGACCAGCCGGGCTATTCCTGGCTGGTTTGGGCCCATGAAACTCATCAGGACTGTGTCTCCTTGGCTCGGACGAGTCTTGCGTCCATTAGACGGTTTTGTGGTATTTTGTTGCGAGATGAACGGCGGCGGCGAGGGTGAGGGAGTAGCCTTGAGACGTACGGGTTCGAGGCCAGGAGAACTTGGACAAGCATCGTCAGAATTGTAATTGGAAATCCGTTTTGTGAGTTCCTTATTCCAATACTCTTCCCGTATCTTATCAACCTCGCCATGTCAAACGCTGACTTTCGCCTGAAGTCCTTTCCAAGAAAATGCACAGTCTCCGCAGGATCTTCTCAATGTTTACCACTACCCGAAGTCTGTCTCGATCAGGGCCAGTCCTTAGTCCACAATCAGTTCAAAGGGGTCGAATTTGCATTACCAAAGATGCCTGTCATCCATCTGCGCCTTTTGCAGAGCCCGAGCCTTGGAGATCATTCTATGCGCGGAGATGACATCCAGGAGCAAGCCCAGCGGGTTCAAGTAAGTGGCCCAGGCGTGCAGTCCCATCCAGCCACCCTGGTAGCGTTTCTGGAATCCACTCATCAAGGTCTCCTCGCCGCCATCGGACTCGACGGCTTGGTACTCTTGAGGCCGCAGGGTCACGGTGCGAGGAGCGTTGGAAATTTCGTAAGGCTTTGCCCGGTAGGCGTAGAGGACCAAGAAGCATAGAGGGACCATCTGCACGCAGATGATCATCTCTGGTAGGCCCATCATGACGTCGACGTAGGTCAATGTTTCATTGTTGTGGAGGACATTGATGCCCTCCAAGATGAGGAAGAGGATCTTTTCCAATATGACCACTCCGACAATCAGCTTGAATGCCAGCAACTTTGTAAGCGGGTGGTGCTCTTTCATGTATCCCTTCATGTTCATGTAGAATTGAATGATGGCGTTGACGGCTACTGATGTCGACAGAGATGTGGCAGCTGTGATCTATCATTTGTGTTAGTCTCCCTTTCCCGCATATTGAGACGTATTGGGAGGGAAAATGCATACCCAAACATGAGCTAAGTGCGGTGCGGTGCTTCCAAGGCAGTACATGTGCAGCAACTGGGTCACCACCTGTGCGACAGCTGTAATCCAGGTGATGATTGGATATTTAAGGACAGACCACCAGGTCAATTAAATGGAAGATTCGGTCAGACATCCGATGGTGTGCGTTTGAATCGTCAGGGCACCTACACTCAAAAACACAAGACCGTTTCTCTTCTTCTTTGGCTGCCACTGTCTCTTCGTCTCGAGCGAAGAGAAGAATTCCACCTTACCCTGGTCCGTGGGAGCCAAAAAGTGGCAGAGCAGCATCAGAAAAGCGTATAGAGCAATACCCTGGAACACCTCGGTGAACCCTTGTAGATAGACGTAGGAGTTTGGAAGGCAGATCGAGATGAAGGACAGGACTTGGTAGGAGGGAATCATGTTGACGATTCGCATTATCCTGTATAGATACTTGTTAGCATCGCAACGCTGCCTCAACCTTGCTGGTGGTCTTACTTGATTTGTTCCTCGGGGTTACTCATGCGCATCGCATGGCGTCCCATAAGACCGAAGGTCAAAAACAATACTATCGCAGTGCAGGCACCGGAAACAATCATGTTGAAGTGGTAGAATGAGAGATTCCCCACAAACGGTCCGCCACCAACTATTCAAATCGTTAGCTGGCGCATTAATCCGTGCATAGCAATTATCGCTCACCATTTTCAATGCGGTCAGGTATAGGGCAGCCATAGCTCCCAAGGGCCGCTTGTCTCGGACTTAACAGGACTATTTTGAATAGTTATGCGGAGCGCTAAAGCCGATAAAAGTGGATGGAAGGACTCGTGAAAAGACGAAATGAAATGAATTGCGAAAAGAAAAGAAAATCCCCGGAGTCACCCACCTTTTATCTATCTCTGCAAACACAAATTCTTACCAGAAATCTTACATGTCTAGGGGGGGCACTGCCGATCACGAAGCTTCTTAGCTGACCCGAATGATAGGGTGGAGCCAATTCCCGACGAGCCATTCATCGCACGATAAATTTGCGCACTCAGTCTACACATAAAACTTGCGCAGTGGATGTGTTCATAAACTTGCGATATAGGAGACTCGACTGAAATAAACCTTGCTATAATTCCGTTGACATAGAAGTGGGCACTGAGAATTTGCGCCGGGGAAAGGTGCGGTACAACAGTTCTACCACAACATAGCCACAATATCCATGCAATTCTGGTGCGGTACATTGATTAAATGATTCCGCTTCCGCTTCTTATAATATGAACTGAGGGTCAAATCACATATGGGAGGAAATGATATAAATACGGCTAGTCGTTCTCTCGCTACTAATCAGCACAACGTTCAACGAATATTCAATGAACATGCTTCTCAAAAGCCTCTTTCTCCTTGCTGGAGCCCAGTTCGTCTTTGCTAAATGCAAATGCGTATGTTATCCTATGATCATGGATCTGTATACCACAAATTATCTAACCCAAGGTGTAATAGACACCAGCAGACGATTGCTGGCCATCAGCTTCAAAATGGAATTCTCTCAACTCTACGGTGGAAGGAAAGCTTGTTCAAAACCAGCCTCTCGCCAAAGCATGCTACCACGGCCCTGGATACAGCGCCAAAAAATGTCAACGCATTGCTTCGAATTGGACAAATGAATTCTGGATCCCAGAATCTCCAATCGGATATAGCTATCCACTCGTTGATACGTGCCCCCCAATCAATGCTTCGGTAGCAGCGTATCCATCGTGCGAGCTGGGAACTTCTCCCGCCTACACCATTAAGGCCACCAATGCGGATGACGTCGCTGCTGGAATAAAGTTTGCGAAAGAGAACAATGTGCGACTCGTCATCAAGAATACTGGACATGACATATCACAGCGGTAAGGTGGACTGTTCATCTTCATATAAGTACCGTATGACTGACGATGAAAATCATGACAGGTCGCAAGGATACGGCAGTTTATCGATCTGGATAAAGCATGTTAAAGACGGGCTTCATTTTCATAAGAAGTTCCATTATTCCGAAGGATCTTGCCCATCTAATTGGACTGGAAGCGCGATCACTATCGGGGGTGGATATGTGTGGAAGGATGCCTACGATTTGGCCTCTAAACACCGCCATGTCGTTGTTGGAGGAGGCGACCCTGTAAGTCGACATCAATTCGCATTGAAAATTCAAGCAATGCAATCTAACTAACACAACGCAAGACCGTCGGATGTATTGGCGGGTTTCTTCAGGGCGCAGGTCACGGTTCCCTCAGCCACGAATTCGGACTAGCAACAGACCAAGTCCTTGAATACAAAGTTATCCTTGCGTCAGGAGAGACTGTAACGGCGAACGCATGTCAGAACACCGATCTTTTTACTGCCCTCAGAGGAGGAGGGGGAGGTACATATGGCGTTGTCTTATCAGCTACCGTCAAGACGTACCCTACTCGTCCAACCCTTTACCATGACCTGACTATTGCGGCTTTGGGCCATAATACCTCTGCAGTCTTAGAGGCCACAGCTCGAATGGCCTCAAAATATCCTGCAATTGTTGATGAAGGATTCGCCGGTACCGCTGCTCTCACCCGGAAATATGGACCCTGGGTATACGGCTCTCCCTTTATCAAGTTCCTCGCGAATGATTCAATCGAAGCGATCAACCACGCAAAGGACGTAATGAACCGAGAGATCATTAATGATTTGCTTCCTGGAAACGGAACTGATTACCTGGTATCATCTAAATGGTCTACTCATCCTTCGTGGGCCGCATGGTATGCGTCGACCCACCACACGTCCGCAGGTAATAGTCAGCCACTCATGGCATCGAGATTCTTTAAGAAAGAGTCTTTGTCTGGCAAAGAGCAAGAGCTGTTTGATTTGCTTCAAATTCTGACCACCGAGGTCGGAGCAGGGGTCCACACCGCAACCAGTACTGTGCTCCTGAATATCGTTGCCGGTGGAAAAGTTCTCAACAATGTGCCATATACCTCTGTCAATCCAGCCTGGAGGGAAGCCTATCTCGTGTTACAAGGAATAGATATGTGGCCGGCAAATGCAGGCTCGGAGGAAATTCAAAAAGTCAAGGAGGAACTCACTAAAAGGAAGTTAGGAGCCATGAAAAATCTGGCTCCTGGAACGGGAACTTATGTGAATGAGGCCGACCCGTATGATCCGGACTGGAAGCAGGACTGGTTCGGCGATCGATATGACCAACTTCTGTCGATCAAGAAGAAGTACGACCCAGAGGATGTGTTTTGGTGCTGGCGATGCGTGGGCAATGAGGGCTGGGAAGAGGTGACGGGCGGGGCATTGTTTGGGCCTCTGTGTCAAGTGAACTAACAATGTAGGTCGGTAAACTCGACGGCATTGAATCATCTGTCACCTCTATGTTGATTATTGTCATTATATTTTCACTGCTTTTTCCAGTCTTACTTCCATTAATACACTTTGCTTTAGAGTTAACCCTTTTGAATTTTCCTACCTTGAAAATCTTTCGATACGGTATGAATGATCAAACAACTGTGTATTCTATGAAGACCCATAGTTGTCGTAAGTTGTACTCTCAATTGAGCTGGAAACGTTCTTGCTCATTTTATCGTTATATCCTGCACCCGTGGAGCTATATACATCTTGTCTAATATGGAGACATGTTTTAACCAGAACCAAATTCAAAATTCAGGTCATTGTTTATCATATTTTCATCAAACCCCATTATCGTGGACCAGTCAAAAACGAAGTCTCCAGCGTTGAGAGAATTCGGTATTGGCTCAGTAGACCACAAACTCCCTGAATCTGGGGAATTATCTTCAAAAGTACTCATGCTTGGCCCTTCTGCTGAGGTATCAGACACAGTCAGCGGTACCTGACCAGCTTTTCCAAGATCACTTTCTTTTTTCAAATCTCTCATGATATCAATAAATGCCATCATGACTTTAGTGCTAGCGGCAAACACGCAGCCGCCAGCAAAAGCAGCTTCGGTCGATTTTCCAGGGGAGGCAACCATGTTACCAAGTCTTTTAGCACACTCTGCAATAACCAAGACTTGCTGGTCGGCATTTTCTTTCATCTTTCCATATAAGTTCTTGACATTGATGCTGTTATTCTCCACGATGGATCTGGAAAAGACGAGTATATCGAGAACGATATCCCGGAACGGAGCTTGAAACGGTATGCCATCAAGTTTTAAATCAGTGCATCCGATGAACATTTCAAGCACTGCGAGTAGCCGATCGGGGAAGGGATGCCCAAAGTGCGAGAGGAATGTCACACTTTGAACACCGAGATCGTCAGAAATATTGTTCATAGCATCCGAGAGTTTTGCGCCCATTTGATTAGCTTCCAGGGGATTTATCTCAGAATCCCCCGAGAAGCTGTTGTTTGAGGCTCTGGACCGAAGAACCATGATGTGAAGAAGCGCAATCCCATATATTCGTCCGATTACTGCATGGAATCGATATTCCAGCAAAGAGCGAGCAGCTGATACCTCCTCAGGTGACCCTGACTGAGTAGTATTTGACAGTGCCCGGTCACAGAATCTGATCTGTTCAAGGCACTTTTGTTCAATCTCGTCAACAACATGGTATAATCTTTGTGGATTGGTCCAGTTCTGTTTTGTTGCTTTCAGAGAATCTAAAAGCATATAGCTCGCTGTGGCCCACTGTATTTGAAAAATAATCCTTGGTGAGCAAGGACGATGCCTAAAGACATTTTGGTAGACGTGGATATGGGGTGCCATGCGATCTAGCGCTTCTTGCAGTAGATGAACTGGTCTTGACAATAGTCCATCTAGAATGATATCCTGGCTGAAGATTTTCATTCCTTGTAAAGAATCTGTAATTTGATGTTCAAATTCCTCATTACTCATGGCCGGTATATCTGCGAAGCTTAGATTGAGTTGCGAAGGTAGCATCTCTAATTTTTCAGCGACTTTGAAAGCTATGTTGAAATATAAGGTCGACTTGATCGCTCTGTGTGCAGTATGTTGAGATAATCCCACTGCGGTTGGCCTGTACTCAGCTAAGAGAAGACAGACAACAACAGAGTCGCAGTGAGTGGGAGGGGAGAAGATAAACTCTTGGCCATAGGATGAAATAGCCAGCTGAAGGTTCCACTTCAAACGTGGATGAAGCCGGTCAAATTTGCGTGTTGTATCGCATGAGATGAGACAAAGCAATGCGAAGAGCAAATTGGTGCCAATATTGAGTTCATCATCCGACTTGAGACGATGTCTTATGTCTACTAAGCTTGGCAGACTGGGAATAAAAAACCTATACCAAGCCAGGCTTAAAATGCGACATAAGTTAGACAAGCAGTCAAGATATCTCAAGGGAACGGCAAGTGCTTACTCCTTGTCAAGACTGCTCGCTATTTCTTGGCTCACCAGCTCTGGGAGAGGAGTCATGCAGCCTGAAGTGCTCCGAGGAATTGTAGCACCGAATATTCGGTCTTTGCCTAAGGCCAAGGCAAAAAAGTGTTGAAATTCAATGACAGACTCAAACACTGTCTTGTCGGCCACTGCACGTATTTCTTGAGTGGTTCCTGGACTCGCGGTCGACTCTAAGGCCAAGTGATCCTTGATCTGAGAGTTGGAGGGAGAGCCGAGTTCTTCATTTTGCGTAGCTGAATGACAGTGGGCAGAATTTGACTTCCGACCTGTCTCGCTTTCACTGCGCTTGGAGGATGGACGGCCCAAAGTCGAACGCTCAATAACGCATTCAAGACCGAGGGTACGGCAACGTTCGCAGGACCTTTCTGGGGTTTGCGGAGAGCCGAGAGGACCCAGCTCGTTTATATCTGGCAGATTGCATTTGATTTTCCTGGACCTGCACCCTTGACAAAGCAAGCGAGCATATCGACCCCTGGTTCCACGTTCAGGTTTTGAGTTGGGCATGTCGGGTTCACGACTGCAGTCGGGGAGTTGTTGAGCAACTAGTAGAGACTATTCAACCATGAAGCACCAGGACTCTGCCGAAGAAGAAAAAACAATGGAGCGCTTATATTCTTCTGGGCGGGGAATTTGCAGCAAGATGTACTGTAGCAACATGATCGCTGATCAGAGTGGCGCAGTCCTCAGCTCTTGTCAGTTTGGCCCCACGTCGATTTGTCAGGAGTGACGATCGTTGCACAGGTGGCTTCAGCTGATAGCCGAGTACCTGTTCAGAACAACTCCCCGATGCTCAGGTAGCAGTGGGCTTAGGCCGTTTCAAGTATTCGCGGAAATTCTTTCGGATTGTTCTTTGGTTTATCTCAATCTCGTGGCCGCCCCGACTGCGTTGGCCTCCCTGGCACAACAAAAGCTCATTTCTGTCCTCTGCAGAGACGACTCTGATCATAAGCAGGATTCTACTCATTGGAATGCTTCGAAGTTAACCCACATGGACGACTATGATGGCGCTGCGGGGCGCTACCTGACAATATCCATATACAGGAAGAGAGCAGTACTCAGAGGCGTTCATCAGGACGGCTTCCGAAGCGTTCAAGGCGAGATGAAGATTTTGTGTATGGAAAGCCATAGAGTTAGTAGAATTTGGAAGGAAAAGAGTTTTGATTTGATCTTTCCATAATGTACCTCCCATCTACAGTGTACAGTGGCGTTCCATGAGTTTGAAACACCCCCGGGAGTTGCTAAGGACACCATCGGTTTTTGCTACGGGCACCATTTCGGCTTACATAACGAAGACATATTAGTTAAGTAACCTCCGCAGTTCCCCAAGCTCCGAGCCAGGTCAGCCGAGGTAGTGGGCCACGTCAGCTGAGCTGCGTCCTGAGCTGTGGCTCGGAGGTAGTATTCGCAAGCTCATACTAGATAAGATAAACGAAACGCTAAGGCGCTAAAGTAAGGCGCTGGCTAACTTATCAACGCTAACAAAAGTAAGCGGGCCGGGTATTAGCAGTGTAGGTAGGGCCAATAGGCAGTATAGGCAGGCGGGCAGGCAGGTGGCGGTGCGGTAAGGCTGGTGACAGTCTCCAGTGAAGGTGCGGGCCTTTAATATCTTGGCGTAACTTCCAGCCTCACACAGAGTGATGCAGTCATTGTGGTTCGGTGAATCTAGTCGTGACAACTGTCACAAGGTTGGATTATCTGGAGCAATAACATGGTGTTGATGTGGCATGGAGCTAGTATGAACCTTCTCCTGAGCATCACAAGTTCCCTTCCTCTCAGTCTTCACCGTCCACTTCAACTATAACATCAGCGGAAGTAGAACACCTCTCTCGGAGGTTTCTGATACCTCTCCAACTTCTCAAAATTCTCATAATTGAACCCACGAACAAGCGCATACCCCACTATCCTGTGATACTGTTTATCCTCAGTCTCTCGAATGATCATGGGAAACTCAGTATTCTTCAAGACAATCACCTTGTCTCCTACTCGGATGTCTGTGATTCCCTGGCAACCCATACCCACGAGCCCGTGGTGAGTATCGAAAAAGGTTCGGCCCGAGAGCCATGTGGTGTGCTCGTAAGACTCACGATCAAATGTTTTTTCGTTATGAAGGAACATGGTATTCTCCAGCAGCTTTGGTTTGGCCTCCTCCCAGCTGGAAGCCGCCCACTCCGTCGTTGCCTTGAGCTGGTCCGATGTTATCTGGGATTGTTCCGATGCTGCCTTGAAATCTGAAATCATGGCAGAGATTTCGTCGGCCGCTGGGACATGATTGGAAAGTTGTTCAAAGGCCTTCTGCGCCTCCTCGACTACTCCCCTCTGTAGCTCCAGCCATCTATTGCGATTTTCCACGATTGTGGAAATAAACGTCTCCCAATTCGTGGCCCTTTTGTCTCGTTTGTGTACGTAGGAGTCATGGGTTCTGCTAGACTTGTTTCTAGTGGAGTCCGGGAAGGATCTGGTAGCATTGACGACGTTCAAAACGAATCTCACCCTTAGAATAACTTCCTCCTCATGTTCGCATGCTGTGATCTGCTGTTGCAGAAGTTTATAACAAGGTTGCACTTTCGCAGCAATGCCAGACTCGTTGTTGGGAATCCACTCTTCAGAGCTTCCGCTATTGAAGGGAGTTGCAAGACCGCGCAACCTGGTGCAGACAACGGTTAGTTGAGATGTACTGAATTGGCGAGGTTGACTCGGTTTTCTCAAATATTGGATCTGATCTAAGAGATTTGGGTGGTCGAACAACGCTGCGCCGAATAGATCTGTGCAGGAGGTATTGGCTTTCATCAAGAAGCGTTTTAGTGTTGAGAGTCGGTAATATATGTCCAAATAAGCGCGAGCGATGTTCATGTGCTTGAGCCTTTGCATGTTGGTCTCTATTTCAGACACAGGTGATTGTCCTCGCCGTTGCTCGCCTAAGTTCTCGAAAGCGGCAATGTGAGTTCTATAGCCGTCCATTATTTCATTGACAAGTGGGTCGTAAACTGTGTCTATGATGTCATCGTTCTCGAATGTATTGAATGGTGGTAATTCGAAACAAATGCTTTCCATGTCTCTTTTGGGGATAGGAGAACTCCACTTCCGTATGAGCTGTTTTGTATGCAACGTTGGCAGAGCTGTGAACACCGGAGGCGAGTTTCTGAGCACTTCTGGAGTTGGAATGGCGGCAAATATGTTCTCGAGGAACCAGAGCTCCCGGACAGTGTTAGGCCAATCACGCTGGTTGATGGCGTATTCATGCTTTACTGAATCCAGCAGGTATCCCTCCAGTGCCGACACGCCGTCCCGAATGGCGAGTGGACAAGATGAGCTTTTCTTTACCTTGCCAAAATCAAGCAAGCTGTACTCCAACATCGCAGACTCCGGTACTGGCTTTGTGAAATCCGGGACCCAGGAAGGGGTTTTTGCGGAGAGTTTGTAAGGATACCACCAAAAGACTTGCTGCCAACCATTGAGGACTAAAACCCAGAGAGCCAGTTTCTGGAAAGTTGCTTCGATGGGCTCCGAATATTTGGGCGCGAAACCGGGCTGCGAAACTGGGTCTAAGAAAGAACGCATCCCATATATCTTGTCTCGAGGATTTGTGCATCTCAAATTTACTTTTCGCAGAATGCTTCTTGGTATCCAGAAAGCAAACTCTACATCAGCTTGAACTAAACGGAGTGTCAAAACGCTGTTGACATGGAGTATTTGCCTCATAACGGCCTGCCATGACTCTTGAACGTCGCTCTCAAGAATAAACTCCGAAGCAAACGGGATAAGACGGAGCGCAACCTTATTCTGGAGCAGTCTTATGTCCCTTAGCAGAGCGGATGCACGAGTAGAGCTGCGTCCAAGATGGAATAACGGATCGGTACGTGAAAGAGTGTACTCTTGCTGAACCCAAACCCGGTTCCACCAGGGTAGGAAACAGAAGTGGACGTAGGCCTTGAGTAGTTCCCTCTCATCGAAGCCTACTTCTTGAAGGATCTGTTCAAACGACTCCTCTTCGTGATAATCTCGGTTTAGGAAGGAGAAAAGGGCTGATGCTCCTACGTATGGCTCGCCGAGATACACAACAGTAGTCTGGGCGGACCTGTATATTTCGAGCATCATGCCGATTTGGCTTGCTTTTTCTTGATTGTCGTTTTGATTAATACACAAGGAATCAATCCATAAGACGCGAGGGCTTTGTTTCAAGCGTAGACCTTGAAATGCATGATATAGATTTGGTGTGATCTCAATCTTTGTGCCCTCGACTTCGATGATATATCCGGCTTTCATTTCTCCCCATACGTATGACAAGGCTTCATAGTTAGGACTGGATGACAGGTCCTCACAATAGATTGTAGCTGCCAATGTTGGGCCCTCGCCGGGCAAGAGTGCTAAAAGCCGTATGCTATTTCCAGGTTCGCGAAGGCGCAAATTTTTGTATATGTTCGCAACCGTCCTCTTTCGCTCAAGCTCTTGCACGTTGCTTTCGCAAGCTGCGTCAGGTTTTGTTCTGGCCACCCGTACAATTGCTTGTGCGTGATTAATGATTACTGATAGAATGTCGCTCTCGGCTCGGAGGCGTCTGCGTCCACTGTGGCAATTCAAGCTTTGTAAACCCTATGATAATAGAAGTTAGATGTGAATTTTGATCAACTGCCAGAAGCTACTTTGAATTGGCCAACCTCTAGGTGTGAAGAACCGGCTGAGTAATTGCGGTGTTCGGGAACTAATCCACCTCTTGCGCCACTGAAGCGCTTGTTCAGCTACCACCCTATCCTTCACTTTAGCAATCTGCTTGGCGATAGAATCGCTTTCGTAAAAGGTGTCAGAGGGTACGAATTCTTCGAGCTCTTCGACCTTCCCCCGGCGCTCCGACTGTTCTGTGTATGCAGTCGCTGACGCCTGCGAGGTTTTCCTCTTTATGAGCTCGAGAAGCCATACGTCGACCTCCTTCTCATCGTCGATACCTTCGATAGGTGATTGATCTGACTCGTCCACTTCGACAGTATAGAACGAGTGATTCGCGCAAGCCTCCATAATCAGCCTCACTTTTTCATCACGCGCTATCCACTTTTGATGACAGCCTGCGCAAACATACATATATAAACATGACCTGCAAGCGAGCCATCGAGTTCGAGGTTTGATCTTTTCCTTACAGACATTGCAAGATCCAGCGTTGGCCAGTTGCTTGAATGCAAAGGAGGCATTCTCCTCGTCGTCGCTCCAAAGACACATAATTCCCAGCGCCCAGATTGAGACTCTCTCCACCCTTAGCATTCGCCTGGAGAGCTGGGCGAGATTGAAAATGCACTGGTATCGCGGGCGGTCCTTCCGAAGCGGCTCCTGATAGAACTGCTGAAGATAGCTAACCGTCAGTATCTTACCAATATCGATAGTAGAAGTATGTGTGTCGCTGAGTGCTTTGCTTTCGCCTTCGAACGCACGTTCCAGCACATCAACCGCGTCGTCGTGCAGGTTTCGAGCTCTGAGACTGAGCCCCAGTCGGACGAGCGAACGCCGTTCGGTATTCGTTTCCGTGCCTAACTTCCGGCAGCTTTCCGCCACTCTCTTAAATATGTTCTGCGCTTCCTTCAATTTGCCATGCTGTCTGTACAAATCTACTAAGTTGAAGCAAGTTGTAAACGCGTCGTTGTTAATTCGTCCTGCTATTCTGTCGTCGCAAGCCAGCGTCCGCTCGAGCAAGCTCTCTATCTTCGTAGTAGGCCCTTTTTGTTGATAGAAGCTGCCAATTTTGAAAAGATCAGATGATAATTGTGGACTTTATGGGCCATATCTCGCTTCAGCGTCGCTCAATTCTTGCAAGTAAACCGTTTCAGCCGTCGCATCGTCGACCAGGCTAGACACACTCGTCGTAGAAATAGAACTAGGTGTTCGAAACCAGAGCGCGACCCATTGAAACGTTGTCGTGAATACTCCTAGGAACGCGGCTGGGAACCATCTTTGGAAGACAGCTGTGAAAAGCCTTGGAAACATTGTGGTGAACATGAATGCAGGAGTGAAGAAGGACGACACGGCTGCAGGGAGATGGGTTCCAGGGGTGCTCGTTGGACACCACGTGATGTACTTTGAACTCGGAACCAACATATCATCGGACCGCTGATTATCGAGCTTGTGAGTGCGACTTCGGCCCAATCGCCTATCAATTGACAACTGCTTTACCGACCGTGATAGAATAGATAGGAGCGGGTGAGCTCATCATCAATCACGTGATAAGAAAACTGCCTCCTTGTGATAGTGAAAGCCTATTTGGAAGACTTAAGATCTACGCTTTCAGGTGAGATGAAAACGCTGAAGCAAGATACTCACCATTTTATAATGTTTAAAAGGTTCTCCTACGCACATTTGACGCGTTGATGCACTTCAATTGGTAGACGAGGTGGCACGTTGGATGTCGAAGTGTGCGTTCATAAAGGGTGTATTGCTATTTGTACATCGACCAGCACTCCTCATTTCCCCATCTTCGATAGGTATTGCAGAGGACCTAGCTTCAGCAACTCTGCGTCCTTTGCCATCACCTCAGTAACGTTATTCTCCGCGTATTCCCGCAGCAAGGTCGCAATGCGTGGATCTGAGACCGACAGCACTCTCGCTGCTAACAGCGCCGCATTGGTGGAGTTGTCGATACCAACCGTGGCTACAGGCTCTCCTCTGGGCATTTGAGTCATGCTCCATTGACTATCCAGACCGTCGAGATGGCTCGCAGCAACTGGTACGCCTATGACCGGGAGCGTAGTCCACGAGGCCGCCATGCCCGGAAGATGGGCAGCACCACCAGCGGCTGCAATAATGACCTTAAATCCCTCGTCTTTCGCGGATTTGGCGAACTGGCGCATCCAATCTGGTGTTCGGTGGGCGGAAGTAATGCGTGCTTGGTATGGGATAGCGAACCTTTCGAGAATCTGGAAGCATGCTCTGAGGACCGGCATATCTGAGTCTGAGCCCATAACTACCGCGACCACGGGCCGCTCGGTAGACCTCTTAGCATCAGTGTGCTTCCCTAACTGCTCGTCGACAGCGTCGATTAGAGGTTGGATCCTGTTCTCGGCCTCGCTCATTGTGGGCGCCGTGACTGTCACATGGCCCATCTTTCGGCCTTTCCTCGCCTCTCCCTTTCCATAGAGATGCGTCGTTGCTCCTCCCACTTCGTCGGCCTTCTTTGCAATGTCTACATGGGAGTCGGTCGTCTTACCTCCCAGTATGTTCAGCATGATCGCCGGACATCTCAACTCCAGCCCCTCCTTTGGAACAGGTAGGTCTAGTATCGTTCTGGCATGCGCATCGTACTGTGATATCGGACACGCCTCGATGGTGTAGTGTCCCGAGTTGTGCGGTCGTGGCGCAATCTCGTTGACAAGCAATTCCCCATTCTTCAGCAGGAACATCTCGACTCCGAACACGCCCTTGCCTTCAAATGCTCCCACGGCTTTCTCTGCCATCTCTTGCGCGCGCTTGGCTGTTGCCGGACTCACCCGCCTCGCAGGTGCGTATACAAGCTTGCAGATACTGTCCTCATGCACAGTCTCGACTGTCGGATAAGAAAGCGTGCCATCCTTCGTCTTGACCACCATAACCGCGAGCTCCATCTCAAACTCCGCCCAGCGCTCTGCATACAGCGGCCGTGCTCCCAAAGCCTTGATACCCTCCTCAACATCACCTTCGCTCTTCACCACGTAGTTCCCACGGCCATCATACGCCTCCGTCTTACTCTTGAGCATAAACGGATACCCCAACCTCTTTCCCACCTCCTTCACCTCGTCCACCCCCATGACCCCCAAATCCACACTCTCCGCCGTCGGCACCCCATGCCGACCCAAAAACGCCTTCTGCGAGAACTTGTCTTTGATAAGCTGGAGCACCTTCCAGCTCGGCTCCACCTTGACGCCCTCGTTTGCGATTTCTTCTAGGACGTCCGTGTCCACGTGCTCGATCTCGACGGTCACGACATCGCAGCTCTTTGCCAGCTCGCGGATTTTGGCTGCGTCTTTGAAGGAGCCTTCTATGTGCGAGTCGTGGGCTGAAATCTGTTTTGCGGGTGCGGATGGGGCGTCGAGGATGTGGACTTTGATGTTGCGGCGATTTGTGGCCTCAACAAGCATGCGGCCCAGTTGGCCACCGCCGAGGACGCCGATGACGCGGGGGTCCATTGCGTGGATGAGAGTTGAAAAGTGTCGAACGAGTTCTTCTTTTATGCTAGGGGGTGCTATTTCACTTTTTCTAGGAAATTTGCTTGAAAGCCGGAAGGAATCTTGCTGGGCCGCGTAGGAACAAGTCCACGGGCAGTGAGGAAAGTACTATTGTGCTTTTTGTTTTCTTATGGAATGGGTGGAATTGTAGGTACTCTGACGTGGATGAGATGGAATGGTTTTTTTGTGGCTCGTGATTGGTGGTGGGGAAGAGTTTTACACTCACACCTCTAGAATGGGCGTGGTCACGGGATTTCGCGACATCATCAATGTAACAAAGTTTGAATCCATACAACTAAACTTCTTAAGCGCTATTCAGATTTATTATGCGGTATCCAAAACCTCGATGTGAGGCTATTAATTTGTGCTTTTTCAACTACATGTAGATCTATCCGTGCCACAGGACTCTTCGCTAAGCTCACAATTCAATTATCAAAGCTGCTTTTCAACCCCTCAGGGTGTGATATTTCCGATCACGTGAGGTAAGAATTTGGAGGACAATAGATGTCGATTCTATGTAGGAATCTAGCTAGCCTATATACTTATAGGAAAGGCCCATGCAGGCCTAACGTACGCTAGATCTACTGTAACAAGCGTGCCTATAGTAGATCTATACATCACGTGCCCTTACATTACGTGCACGGCGGCCGAATATCAACCGAACATCGAGAATTCCACAAGGGTGAGTGACGGTTGCTTGTCAGTGGTACACTCGCTTCACATTGTTGGAAGTCTCGGTGCATGCACATGTCGAAGTGTTATGCTCAGAGTCTTACATCTTTTCTGTTCATGTCGCAACGCTACATGAGCTAGAAATCATAAGCCATGTCTTTCACAACCTACAATGTATACCGAATCGAATACGAACTTGGACTTCAAGATCCTCTCATGGAACAGCCCACCAAACGTTATCACAATGTCATCTTCATCGAGACCGATGTTAATGGCAGAGGTCGAAAACTCCAGGTCACCGGTGCCATCGGTGACTTAAATGGAATGGTGTTCGTTGAAGAACAAGGGCTCAAGCCAGAGAACACGGACGGCTTCTGGAGGAAGTCTTACTTAGGTCAGATCCAGGCGTCTGATTATGGGAAGGTCGTAGAGCTACTGAAAGGTCTTGACCCGCCTCCCCGTCAGAGGATTTTCGATACCACGACAATGGCATGGCAGAAATGCAAGCCGGATGGAACACTTTACGGCCCACAAGAGGAGGTTCCTCCGTACAGGAAGTGCACTGAATGGACGTTGGAGGAGGCGATACCTGCTCTAATTAAATCCGGGTTTTTGCATGCTCACGGCGTGGCATTACAAAGGGAGTGAAAGCCTAAACCTATTTGTTTGGATTTTATACAAGTTTGTAGCCGTGATACAGCCCTTCAGCAATTAGGAACGCTGGGCTCCTGCGCCTGGGGAATATGCAACTTGGTCCATCCTGCGAAGTAAACCCTGCTAGCGCCAGCTATGCTCATGATGAAAAGCCTCCAAGAAAAATACACTTTGAAGAGAATCTTAGTAGACACACGACTGTAAAAAGATAAAGACTCCCACTCGGACTTTCCCAAAGAGCCCCCGAATGAAGCCCAGGCTCAAGCCACACTCTTAGCCAAAGCCCAGAAAGAGTCCATTTTGGCCCTTGTCAGAACCTCCTTTGCTTCTCCATCTGTCTCGCACACCCTCGACCCCCACTTTCTGAAAGCTCTCTGCTTCTCCTCGCCCTCCCAAATTAGAGTGCATTTGTTCTGCGAGAAGTCCTTCAACTGACCTTGCTCATCCACCGAGTTCAACCAAGCAACCTCGGCCTCCTTGTTGCCCTCCCGCACACTATTTGGCATAGCGTTCTCGGTCCATTTGATCCGATGCAGCATGAGCTTCTTATACAAGTCGCAAGACTTCGAACCACCTTCAACGATGACGAGGCTAAAGTTCGGATTGAGAATCGTGATACCGGTGAGAGCGTTGTCCTTGGCGTTCTTGTCAACTTGGAAGCGGTGTTTTCCATAGGATAGGTTATTGATCTTGTAAACACACAGATGCATTCCCTTGGCCGCATCTGCCGCTTGTTGGGCAGACAGCTTTTCATGACGTTGATCCTTGGACAGTCTCCGCGCCTCGTTGGCCTCCTCGTGTGCCTCCTGTCGCTCCCGGATCTGCTTTTCTACGAGAGCCTCGATAGCCGTCGGATCTGCAATAGCCTGTTCGCCCAAAACACGCATCATGTTTCCACGCTTGACCTTCGGAGGTGGAGGAGGTTCCAGACCCAGACGAATCTTCGCTTGCTTTTCTTTATTTTCAGCTGCACGGCGTTGACGACGCACTTTCTTAGTTTCCGTCTTCGTGAGGTACATGGGTTTGACAGGAATGACTAGCTTCTCCTGAGGTGGACGAATTTCGACAGGGTGTTGGACGTAGACAGTGACGATTGAGTCGTCGTTGTTGAATTTGAGTTTCGCCGGATCATTCAGGACAGCATAATCCGTAGCGTCCAAGAGGATCTCGTCCCACCACTCACAAGCCGGCGGTTCAGGAATTAAGAAACCCTTCTCGTTACTCTCCTCCAGCTGCTTCTTCCGTGTCTCCGCTGCTATCCTCCGCTTGAGCGCCTCCATCTCCTCTTGCCTTCGAAGTCTTGCGGCCTGTTCGATGTATTTGCCCTTTTGGTTCATAACAATCTTGCGGGGGAGTCTGGTCCGGTCAGGGCCTGCTTTTTCGCTAGAGTCGAGATATGGATTTTTTTCCTCCTTCTCTTCATCCGCAGCGGGTGATTCACCCCGTCTGTTCGCCATGGTGGTTGCGAACTTGGGCGCCATGGGTTTGCCCCTCGCCTTCGAGTCCTGCTTCATCTCCCCCATGAGACTAGGATGCAGTCCAACATTTAACCCACCCCTTGCGCGCTGAGAGACATCCTCGACTTCGGGAGGTGAGTGTTGTGGGCGTGCGTGTGCTGGTGGTGGTGGAGGGCGTTGAGGAGGTGTTGCGGTTGATTCTGGCTTTCTTGCGAGAACTTGTGCTAACTGGGCTCTCAAAGCAGCATTCTTGTCTTCCGCTGAAGACTGGCCGGCTGGCGCAGTAGAGTGTCCATTTGTCGAGGGAGATGGAGTAGCAGCTGGAAGAGGCTGTCCTGGTGCTGGTCGCCCGAATTTAGCTGCAATCGCAGCAGCTCGTGCTCTAGCATCAGCGACTCCAGCTTCCCTCTTTGCTGCCAGTTGTGCATCAACCTTCGCTTTGGCGGCTAAGGCTGCTCGCATCTTCTCGGATGTCGCAGGCGCGGGAGACGCGTTGTTTGACCTTGGCCGCTTGCTGTCATTACGAGCGCCATTATCATCGGGGTATGGTCGCTTTTCCGGCATGTTGGCGACCGTGACGCTGGTGATGTGTGGTGAGGAGGAAAGAGTCAGGCAGTGTTGCAGATGGCTGGATGGTGATGCGACTTTGCCAAGAGGCGGTGAACGGTGAAGTGGCAGTAAATTTATTTTATACCCTCACCATTCCCCACAATCTCCGCCACGCTTCGACTACTGTTAAGACTTTCTCCTCTTCTTGATCAAGAAAAAGGCTTTGAAGATGAAGATAAAAGCTCTAAGCCGGCCGGCTTCCTCTCATATGGAGCCCGGAGCCACAACTTCGCGAGTTCCACGAAATCTTGATCCTGCATTGCATCCGTTCGAAGTAATTACTCCATCTTACCCATGCATATATAGTTTATACTGATTTGTTACCCCCACAGAGAGGCAGAGAGTATACGAAAGCCCTTACTGCGACGAAAATGGAGTAAGAAGTCATTTCCACATATAGTCGAGAACTCTCTAATCTCCAATTCCAGGCGCATGTTTGCCGCTCCCTTCTTAGCATCACTTGGAACCGGGCACGTTGATGGTGTCTATTGTTTTGCCAAAGATCCTGAAAGCCTTGATCATTTTGCATCTGGTAGTGGAGGTATGGATTTGATAGCTCCACAAGTCTTAGTCCCTTACTCACATGATTACTAGATGGTGTCGTCAAAGTCTGGGATCTGGCGAGCCGAGATGAGATCTGGCAAAGCCAAGCTCACGAGAACATGGTCAAGGGCATGTGCTGGACTCGAGACAAGCGGCTCTTGACCTGCGGAACCGATAAGACGGTGAAACTCTTTGAACCCTACAATTCAGGCAGTTCTCCTACGGCGACTTGGCTTGGTCAAAGTGGCTTCACGGGAATCTCTCATCATCGCTCTCTTCCCTCTTTCGCAGTCTCCAGCACCTCGATATCCATATACGACGTAAATCGTTCATCCGAGAAGCCAACCCAAACCCTAGCATGGCCCACAACTGTCGACGTAAGTGTTCGTTCCATCATCCAAAAGTACTCGCTAACTCGCATTTCAGACAATCAGAGCAATCGCATTCAATCAGACTGAGACTTCGATCCTTGCTGTAAGCTTTTTGCAATGTTATGGTTGTGGAAATGCTCATATAGTTGTTAGTCATGCGCAACCGATCGTGCTGTCGTATTATACGACCTACGGACCTCTTCGCCACTTCATCGCACAGTGCTCACGCTCGCATCAAATTCAATCAGCTGGAATCCTCATGAAGCCATGAAGTAGGTTTTCGTTCTCGTCTAAATTGGTAATACTGACATTTTCTAGCTTTGCGGTGGCAAGCGAAGACCACAACACTTACCTATTTGACATGCGCAACATGAAGCGCGCTTTAAATGTTCTCAAAGGCCACGTCTCAGCCGTCATGTCCGTCGAGTTCTCACCCACGGGCGAGGAACTCATAACAGGGTCTTACGATCGCACGCTCCGCTTATGGACTCGCGCGGGCCACTCTCGTGATGTGTATCACACTAAGCGCATGCAAAGAGTATTCTCCGTAGCCTGGAGTCCTGACAACAACTATGTCCTATCGGGAAGCGACGACGGGAACGTCAGACTGTGGCGTTCACAGGCATCAGCTCGGCAAGGTGTCAAGTCTTTTGCTGAAAGACAGAAGCTCGAGTATGATGAAGCTTTGAAGGAGAGGTACAAACATATGCCTGAGATCAAGAGGATATCACGTCATCGACATCTCCCAAAGCAGGTGAAGAAGGCAGGCGAGATCAAGAACGAGGAGTTGAAGGCGATCAAGCGACGAGAAGAGAATGAGCGGAGACACAGTAAGAAAGGGACAATGAGGCGGAAGGCCGAGAGAGAGAAGATGATATTAGCTGCTGAGCAGTAGTGTCTTCATGTTCAAATTGATGCATAGCGATGGCGTTTTGGGATAGGTTGCATGGAACGGCGCATGTCTTCGACTTGTAGATACCATCAAAAGCCTTTGTTATTGAATGATTTCATGATCCTTTTGCTACTGGAGAGCATCCTAATGAGCTATGACTCGCTTAACCCCTAACGCCTCCCAATGCACCAGTGATCCGCAAACTGCAAAGCATCAGATAGCCGTCCCCCGTTCGAAGCTCTCCCGAATATCCGAGGTATACTTGTTGTAGAACCGCGCTAACTTGTCGTTGAACTGCTTGTTCTGTATCGAAGTTAGCATCATTATCGCAACCCAAACGAACACCATCCCACATACCTTCTGGTTGATATACGTGACATCCCCACCCGTATCATCCTCCAAGCCCCTCTCCCTCCTCTTCTTCATCCGCGCCGCCTCCGCCTTCCTGATATCATCCACCAGCCGATCCACCGCCGCCTTCTCGGGCTTACTATTCACAAACTCGGTGCTCTCCGCCGTGCTGTAGAACGACCCATCCCGGTCCACAGCAATCAGCTCCCCATCCTCCGTCTCTACGATCTCCAGCCCCCCACTCGCCGCCGCCCGCTCGATCGCCTCCTTCTTCTGCTTCTCGTACGCCGCCACGTCCGGCGGCACGTCTCTCAGTTGCCGCTTGTACACCTTCCGCGCCTGCTGCGTGTAGTCCGCAAACCCAACATCGTCCCTGTGCCTCGCTTTCTTCTCCAGGCGGCGGTCCCAGGCGGCGGCTTCCTCGGCGGTCCAGTCCCAGGCGCGCTTGCGCTCGAAGTCGGCGGTTTCGGCTTTCAGGAGCTTGTGCGATGCGGTGGCGCGGCGGCGCTCGAGTTGGGTGAGGAGGGCGGGGTCGGTGGCCTGCCGTGTTTGCTCGGTTTTGGTTTCTTTGAGGTTGGCGCTGCGGGAGGCTTTTTGGCGCGCTTGCAGGGCTTTGAAGCGGTCGAGGCGGGTTTGCGCTTCGCTGGGTTGGGGGGTGCTGGTTGAGGGGGTAGGATCTGAGGAGGGGGATTCGGTGTCTGAGGGAGGATTCGAAGTTGAGGCCTCCGCGACTTCTTTGGGGGATTCGTCGGCCATGTTGTGGGTGGTTGTGTGGTGGTGAGGTTGTTGTTGATTCAAGGTGGTGACGATGGAAGAAGTTGGGTTGAGGTTCTGGCGCACGGACTTTCCTTCTTCACTGCAGGGTTCCGCCAACGACATCCCTTCACTGACCACCTACAAATATGGAGGAGGAAGAGAGGAAATATCATGAGAATTTCATGCGCGAAGCCATCAAAATGGTACGCTTTATGGATATAAACTACGAAATTTTAGATTGACAAAACTTGCAGGCGGAGTTGGCTCTGTCCAGCGACGAGACCCCCGTTGGCTGCGTCTTCGTGAAAGACGGAGCAATAATAGGGCGAGGAATGAACGAGACGAACAAAACCCTAAATGTACCCATCTCTTCGTCTCCGACTTTCAATTTCAATTTCTAAATCAATTAAAGGGCACTCGTCATGCTGAATTCGTGGCACTGATCCAAATCCTCTCAAAGCACCCTATCAGTATTCTCCAATCCACAGATCTTTACGTCACAGTCGAACCCTGTGTCATGTGCGCTTCAGCATTACGCCAGTACGGTATTAGAGCTGTGTATTTTGGATGCTGGAATGATCGGTTTGGCGGTACTGGAGGTGTGTTGAATATTCATGAAGAGTGAGTAAGATCTAACGAATAACTCCGGGATTTGTATTGATTTGAACAGTCCGTCTGTTGATAAACCGTATCCCGTGCATGGGGGTATCTTTAGAGAGGAGGCCATCAATCTCTTGAGGAGATTCTATGTGCAGGAGAACACGAAAGGTGAGTGGATTTTGTTCGGGATCAAGTTTGGAGCTGACTATAAGTAGCACCAGAGCCGCATAATAAGAAGACTCGGGAGCTGAAGTTACTTGAGTCGGGAGTATAGATTTCTGAGTTGCCTCCAATAGCGTCAACTGAAAAACATTTGAAAGGTCAGCTCGTACGGGTCAAGTATGCATGCAGTACGTGGACAGAAGTCTGTGCACACCTGTTTGCCGCTCTCTGAGGTGCTGGGGTGCCTTGCTAAAATTCCGGATGAGATGTAAATATCTAGGGAGTGCGAATTTGAGCGCTTCCCAACGCTTCTGACCAGCTTACGTTGTTGCTCTTCGGGGTGCTTCAACATATTGATTATATTTAGTGAGAGGACCAGAAACCTGGGGCGACAGTGAGCGCATAAACTTTTTTCCTGGTACTATACTCTCATGATGTGACGATTACGCATGCCAAATTGCTTTGCTGTTTCACTGCGCGTATATCCATCTGATGTACTCCAACGGCTTAATATAACATGGAGCGCAACGTTACTGAAACTTCTATGATTTTACGTCGTAGTTCACTGAAAAGTAGCACACCATGAATAGGCGAAGCATCAGCCGAAAGTGGCTTTAGACACTCTGCACGTTTAAATGTAAGCGCTTGTCATGTAACTCCCAACGTGTTTCTATGAGGGTATATAGGTAGCCAAGATTAAATTCGAAGAACCTCCACCAAGGAAGCCGGGAATCCAAATTCTACGCAGAGAGGCTCGAGGTTGGGACAGGTAGCTTGCGATGCATCCTGCTCATAATCTCCAGATAGTCCTTCTCATTCTCATCGGTGATGATCCCATGGCGAATGAAGAAGTCAATCATGACGGCGGCGCAATTAGTTTTGAACTCCGCTTTCGAAAGAGCCGCCTTGACGCTTTCAACATCCCAAAGATAGAACTCCTTCACCTCTCCATCTTTGGGCTTACAGATAACATCTTCTGCAACCTCGAGATCAAATACATAGATGCAATCTGGTACCATGAGACCAAACTCTCCACCATCGCCTTGTCCGCTCTTTGCAAGGTACGTCAAGACACCGGTAGAGCGAGCCTGAGAGCGGACCAGAGATTCTGGGAGCGAGGCTTCCTCGTCCGCTTCTTGGACGATGCATTCCCACGGAGAGTGTTCAGCTTTGACACCACCAGCCACGGTCGTATCGAGTTTGTTAGGATACGTGAACAGATTTGGAGCTCTTCGCGGAACCCAGATTTTCATTCCTTCGGGAGTGCGAGTGTAGACGGTCATATGGGCTCCGCGGTGGGCGATGCCGAATAGTGAAGACGCTGTGCGCTCCATTTGAACCGGATAGTTGGCCCCAATGATCCGGTAATCCTCGTGCAAAGGACTCGCCAGGACTTTGAAGGCTTTAGAAGTAGTAGCGTTCGAGATGACCTTTTTCAGAGCAGCATTACAGGCATTTGAAGTGTCCCGGCCCTTGGAGCTGTCCAGAAGCTGCACGGTCCGCGGACGCTCGTGACGGACTACGAAGTCATCCGTCCATGGCATCGCTTTGACGGTCGAGGGAAGTATGTAGCCATGAGGTCTTGAATCACCGGGAAGGAGAAACTGATAGAAAGATGATCTCTCGTCTTCATTATGAGGAAGTGATGTAATGTCAACGTATGGGAAGCTGGGGGGCCAGTATTAGCACGAGGTATCCCATAGATTGCCAAATCCTATGTTACCTGTCACAAGCTGCAACAAGCTCGAGGTTGGTCTTGTTATCCGTCATTTTGACTGAGAACTTGTCTGAGGGTATGGTTAGAATGAGGTGCGGTCGATGAGACGTGCCACACCTGTCATTTTTTGACATGCCGAAGCCCGAACGGCATGCCGATGAATGCTCACAACTTCACATGAGTTCAAAAACTCAGGGGGTTGAGGAAATATCAGATATATATCAGAATGTAGTACTATATCATTCTGTTCGTACTATTTCCATAAATCCATTTCAGCTCGTAATCAAGCGCACGAGTCCTTCTCTAGAATATGCTATCCACCATAAAGGAGAGACCAAGTGGTCAATTCTTCGTCTCTCAACAACCCACAACGCCGAGCGAAGAAAGTATGAAAAGAAGCAGATTCTTTAATAAACTTGACATCATCTTTGAGTGTCGATTGGGAGAGGAGGTAAGCGCGTGGGGCTTCCATTCCCCAAAAGCACATATTTTGCACCCTTCCCTAGAGGCTACGTTGATGCGTCTCATACATTGCTACCAAATCTACCATAGCTCTCTTTTTGCCATGAGTCTCGGGTGCTCTGTTTCTGCGGCTCATCGCATAAGGGCAAAATATTTCACTGCCTTAAAGTTATTCCAAATTTCTCATAAGCAGCAGGCCCCCCAATGAAACGGGGGCTGCACCTCGCCACAACCCTCGGCCCCCACGGTAAGGCTGCCGTTGAATATATATCATGCCAACCCTGTATTACATATCTGTCGTCTGTATTGCTATCCTGAAATCCTCGAGAACTGTGGGCTGAATCTCGAAAACATGGTCTTTGAACACGAGTCCGTATTTAGTTACAATATTACCAGAGCGTACCCTTTTAGATGGTTCACCCCGGTCGTGCTAGTTGGCTTCCTAGTGACTACCGTCCTCTTTTCCTTCCTCAATTTCGCCTCCAATGGATACGACTTGATTGTGGAGACCTCCTCCAACCCCAACCAAACCATCTCGGAAGGAATCTGGTTCAAAAACTGGCCATCCTACCTCACCAGCAAGGCCAAACCAAGCTGTCAGCCGGCGGATATACATGTCAACACTCTGCTTTTCACAAATCAGACCGCCTTGACATACACCCTGACGGATGTCTGGCGGGTCTCAGCAGGCGGGGGCAACAGAACTGTCTTACCTTCACTCACGTACTACAATAACCGCATCGAGAATTGCGCCGTGAGTTCAGTTGAAGTGGACCTCGAGGCACTAGACAGGGCAGCCAACCAGCTTGCGTACGCAGAATGGGGAGCTGTAGTCCGCGCCTACATCTCCTGCACTATCGAGGGTGCAGAAGGGCAGACGCGCTTCAACCTTACCACAACGTACGACTATGTGCCCCAGTCCGCGTCTCTCTCCGGCCTCTACCAGTTCCTCGCAACCAACTTTCTGGACCGTGACAAGCAGAAGAAATCAAGTCTTTACTGGGGCGAATCCTTGATGTCTATGTATTGGGCATACATGACGAAAACTATGCAAGACATCCGACAAAATGCAACCGACAACAACGAAGCCGGTATAAGAAAGGGAACCATTTCCTTCACCCCAAACAACAGTTCTACGTCCGATATCACTCGCCTCGACTACTTCAAAGTCGACTACCGCTTCATGATCGACGACGGCCTCGGCGACTTCAGCATTCTCTGGCCAGGTCTCTACAACTGGACAAACAGCGTCGCGTATCTCGACCGCATCAGCGCGAAACCCAATATCTGGATCCAAGCGGACAGTCTGGCCAAATCAGCCTATTCAACGATCTTGACGGACCTCGGTCAGATATCGTCCACGCCGAACATCTTAACTGATGACGATACCTTGCAATACTTCACATCAAACTTCTCCATCGCAATGGTGAACAAGGCGAACGCGGAGCCAGGGCCTGCTACGCAGGACTTCGATACTTTGAAAGCGACTACTGGGCCTTTAGGGGTGACTCCTAGTGTCATCAGCACGAACTACATCTGCCAGATCCCAAAGTTGAAGTCGGGCGGAAATCTCTTTGTGTCAGTGCTGGTTGCGGACCTTGTTTTCCTACAGGCGCTCTGGAAGATCTTCACGTTGGTTACAGACTGGCTCTTGTTCCGGAAACACCCCAACGCAAACCAATGCCACGGATGTGCGGAGAACTCAAGCAGACACGGGCCCCTAGTATCTCCTTCTGCTGAAAGTCTGCCTGAGCATGGGACCAGGGATTTCGACCAGATCGAGTTGAGCACCCAGAACGCCCTGAAACGACCCGGAAGCCATCATAGGCAAACGAGCAGTCAGCAGCTCCTGCTAAGATAACAGCATGTGCCCTACTGGAGTATCTATAGACGTCATCTCTTGGAAAAAATTCGCGTGTTCATGTAGATTCAATACACGTCAGAAATGCTCAGAGATGTTTTGTGGTACTCTTGTGAGATTCAAGCTTTTGCTGTACCTACATAGAATACAAATCTGTAGGGATGATACGCCTTTAGGTGTGTGAGACATGAAACCGAAATGCTCTCGTCTTGGTAAGGCATAATCCTACACCAACTCACGTCGACAAAGAAGACGCAGCTTCACAACACGTGATAGGAAAGTCGAGTCTAAGGAGACAATACTCGCTTACTTGACTAAACATCATTGTCTATTTCGTAAGTAGTGTTCATTTCTCGTCTCGCTCCACTGCACCCGATAAGTTGATATCGTCTGGGTGATAGTGATCTGCAACGATCCTATACAGATAGCTCGGCGCATGTCCGCCTAGATTCGTGACGTATAGATCCACCAACTCTGGCGGCACGTAGTCGTACAAGGGATTGTCGACGTCCACCTTATCGACGAAATCGCCATCGTCGTAAGGCACCACATTCCCCGCGTCGCCATACTCGATCAGCTCGTCGATGTCGAAGGGGTAGACCGGGCTGAGCTTGTAGACACCAGTGACAACAACGACAGGCGTCCGGTGGACCTTTGCTGCTGATGCAATTACGCGCGCGCCCGCGGCTGCTACGAGTCCGCCATTCGCGAGGACGCTGTGGGTGGCCAGGATGACTTTGTTCACACGGGCCATGATAGCGAAGACGTGCGAGTCTGGAATCAGCACGACGGTGATACCGGCAGCTGTGAGGGGTTTCCAGCGGTCTCCTGCTTCTTCGGATATGACTTCGGCATCTCGCTTTTTGCCTGTCAGTATGGTTGCGTGGACCGCATCGTGGTCGTTCGGATGGGCCTCGGCATGCACGACAGTAAATTTGCGCTTCTTCGCTGCAGCCAGGAGAAATTTCTGGACGGAAGTGGAAGCAGTATGAGTTAGAATGATCTCGTTGGAGTGGATGTGGTCGAGGGCGTTGGCAGCGATCTGGTCGTCGGATTGCTCTAGCTCATCTTGGAGTTCATTCATGCCCTCTAGGACTTCGGCTTTGATGTTTGTTCGCTTCAAAATGGTAGACTCGCCTATGCGTTCCAGAGCCGATGCTGTCATGGTATGCTTCCCGGTCGGCGAATGTCGGCCGGTTGGTGTGCTCGTGTTTGAGGGGGTATCTGGTTGGGAGAAAAGGCCAAACAGGGAGGTCCCAAGTGGAGCGTACGAGGTGTGCGATGAGAACAGGGCCGGTCGATGTGGTAATTCTCCAGAGTCTGCGAGACTCTCGGGTCCTGAGGTAGTATCCATGGGTGGTAGAGCGCCATGCCGCAGGGGGCTGAATGTGGATATGCTCGACGCCAAGTGAGGCCGGTTGAGGGAATCGTGGTGTGGGGTTGGACTTCCCGCATCGCTATTCACCGCATTCGAGTCCGCGTCCGCATCATCGTCCTTGATCTCTCGTATCAAGCCCAGTACACGCCTAACGATATTCCCAACTACCATCTCCCGCGGCTGTGCTGCGATCAGCCTCCGGCCCACGTCCCTGATTCTTCGCAGGAGTTTGTCCGCATCCTTTCCTTTGAACTCTTTCACTACTTGAATGAGCAACTGAGTGGTAGCAAGTGCGCATGGTCTCGAATTTCGAATTTGTCGTCGTTTGAGGAGGCTGCTGTTTGTTAGCGTTGTGACTCATGGAGTGAGTGTCTGCTCGTACGATATAAAGTGCTCAATCGAGGCTTCGACTGGAGTCGACCGGAGAGACTTGAGGTACGATGATAGCCCTGGGGCTTGTATTGTCGTGGAACGCGACATGGTGTTGTGGAGTGCTCCGAACTCCTTCTTGGAGGGGCAGTTCGTTCGCCCAAGAGGGACAATGCGGAGTTGAGCAAAGTTCGAGGGCGGCTTATGGAGGGTATGGAGCTCGCGCAGTGGCCGGCGCGTAATAAGGGCACTGTCGGAGGTGCTCTCTGAGAGACGAAGCGAGAAATGGAGCTGTTGGGTGAAGTGTGTCGTTGTGCCTGACTTTGTCTCGACTGCAGCCAGAGAGATGTCCTGGTTCGTGGATGGTCTGTGCGAGGTGAAAAAGTTCCAAATCTCTCGAAAACTTTCACGACTTGCAACATCGGCCTCCGAAACCGACAACTCCCCCAAACCTCGTGCTCTACCGAATCTAATTGTTCGCCATGACGAGCAACAAGAAGCTGCGCGCTCGCGGCACCAAAGAGGAGAAAAAAGAACTCGTTGAAAAGCTGGTTGCAGACGGCGTCCGCGAAAAGAAGCCCACCAAGCTCAACACCAAGCGCAACAAGTACCCCAAGGCTCCGGCCCCGCTCATGGAGCTCGTCGAAAATTTCCTACGCGCACACGGCTACACGAACTCTGGACGGGAACTCGTTGAAACGAGGAAAAGGGAGACCGTGGATGGAATAACAGTTCCCATGTCTGGGCTAAGCGCCGATAAAGGATACCCAGACTTAACCACGCTGTTCAATGAGTGGGTGGAGGGCCCAGGGAAGAGCAGGAATCTGCCAAAAGAAGCAGACATCGTGGCCGAAAAACCCGCGAAAAAGTCGAAGAAGGATGTCAAGGCAGACACATCTTCTGACGAAGACTCCTCGTCCAGCGACAGCGACTCCGATAGCTCCTCAGACGATAGCAGTAGTCCTTCTGAGAACGATGAGAAAGAGGCGGAACCTGAGGCAATGGACATTGATAGCTCTAGTGCAAACTCCGACAGCGACAGCAGCGATGATGAGAGCTCCGACAGCGATAATGAGGCAGTCGCTGTGAAAGCGACTCCACCATCAAGCTCGGACTCCGAATCAGCAGACTCGAGTCCGACCAAGAAGAAGTCGCCGGTCCCAGTCGCAAAGAGCCTCAAACGAAAAGCTTCCATTTCGTCCTCTAGCTCCTCAAGTTCGAGTTCTAGCTTGGAGTCCAGTTCTGACAGCTCTGGCAGCTCCGACTCTGACTCTGATACGCCAGCAAAGAAGATCAAGAAGGTGAAAAAGGTGAAGAAAGCTAAATCTGCATCGTCATCCTCCTCTAGTTCCTCATCTAGCTCCTCATCCTCATCATCAAGCGATTCATCATCCTCCAGCGATTCGGACAGCGACGAAGCGACCAAAAAGGCACTCCCGGAATCAGATTCAGATTCGTCCTCGAGTGATTCAGACTCAGACTCATCCTCGAGCGATAGCGACGAGCCAGCAAACAAACCTCTTCCCGAATCAGGGTCAGACTCAGACTCAGACTCATCCTCAAGTGATTCAGATAACGATGAGCCGGCGAGTAAAGCTTTCCCTGAATCAGGCTCGGACTCGGACTCCTCAGATTCAGACTCGTCGTCCGACTCTCCAGCCCTATCTAAATCCAAATCCAAAACCAAGAAGTCCAAAGCCAACCCCTCGCCTCCCCGCAAGGGCTCTACCGACTCAAACTCCAGCGCCACCCTCCCCAGCAGCTCCCCCAAGCCAACAACCCAAAACAAACGCAAACGCACCGCCTCCCCTTCCGCCGACCCGACCTCCGGCGCTGATTCCTCCGCTAAGCGCCCGAAAGGCAGCGAGCGCAAATTCTTCAGCCGAATCCCCGAGAATGTCTATGTCGACCCCAAATTCGCGTCGAACAAATACGTCTCGTACGACTACGCAGACAAGGCCCACCAGGATCTCGTGGTGACGAAAGGGAAAGGGTTCACGAAAGAGAAGAACAAAAAGAAGAAGGGGGCCTATAAGGGAGGTTTCATTGACTCCACCCCGAGAGGCATTAAGTTTGAGGATTAGTTGATTGATGATGTAGACGTGTAGTATCGGCATTGAAAGTACGATCTAACGTATGCGGCTGCGGTGCCTATCGTAATCGACCCCGATGGGGGACAGTGCGTGGTTACTTGATGAGCGTTTGGGGACGGTGGAGCGGTGTAGCGGTGTAGCAGGGGCTATTCTTGGGGGAGGTTTGGAAAAGCTGGAACTGCGAGCAAATGGAGTGTAGACAGTTGAGGTTGGACTCAGTTGGATCATATCTCCTTGGTTACTTGGCGTGGGAAAAGTACTGTTGGGATTCGGCGTAATGGTAGACAGATATATCCCAAGATTGGCCTTGCCTAATTATCGATTTTACACTCATAGAGAGGTACAAAAGCAATTATATTTAACACTTATTGCCTGTCTTCGGACCACTGGAGTCCAGATGCGTGAGATATCTGGCACAAGATACGTCAAATAAATGGTATCTATACTAGTCGGGAGAAGCCTAACTCTCAAACCTCCCACTCTAATCCCCCGACCCCAGTTCACCTCCTCAACTTCCTCCTTTTCGCCTCAAATGCATCACTCTGCCCCGTCCCCCTCGGCCCATCCACAACTTCCCGCTTTCGACTACTCTCCAACTTCCCCCCGGCACCCCCCTTCCTCTGCGTCAACTTCGCAATCCGATCCACCCCGGCATCCAACCCCCTCCAATCCTCCCCTCCATACCCCAGATCCCTCGTGCGGCTCCCATTCTTCGCCCTATCTTTCTTACTCACCTTGGGCAACCGCACAAAATTCGATTCCTCGTACATCTGCCGCTCGGCCTCCTCGTCCCGCTCCCGCTGCGACTTCGTGTGCCGCCCACCAGCAACAATCGTGCTGCCGATGCTGGGCTGCGCGACGGGCGCGGATGACATCTCGGTAGCGATGAACTCGTCGAGGGTGTTTGACTTCACGGGCTTGCGGGCGTCTTTCTCCTCGCGGCCGCGGGTGGTCGGCATGGCAGTGGGCGTGACGCGGGGCGGGCGGTAGATGCTGTCCTTCTTCTTGCCAGCACCTGCGTCCGCTTCTACGGTCTGTGGCCGCACGAATGCGGCGGGGTTGGGGCGGTAGGCGAGCTCGTTGATGTCCTCGTCGTCGGCTCCGGAGTCTGAACCCTCGGAGCCGCTGCCGGAGAAGTCGGACGCGTTGTCCCCTCGGCGCGGTTTTGGTCTGGAGGGTTTGGGGTCTGCGGCCTTTTGGGCGGCGGAGCGGGAGGCATCGTCGGCAACTTTGACGACTTTGTCGATTTGGTATTTGAGGCGCGCTTCGAGGGGGCGGACGCCCTTTTCGAGGTAGACGCGGAGTTCGGTGAGTTTCTTGACTACGGCGTCTTGGATCGAGTCCGCTTCATCGTCGTCGGTGGAGTGCGATCGGAGTTTCAGGAGAATGAGGAAGACGAGGTTTTGCACGTATGAGAGCAGGAGCTCATTTTTGACGTCGAGGAGGGATATGCCGTCTTTTGGGGGAACAATGGCGGAATCCTGGGGAAGAGCGGTCGCTGCAGACTCGAGCGAGGCTGTTAGTGACGCGAGAAGCGCTGGTAGAGAATTTTCCATTGTCGATTGCGGATGTAAAGGTGTGGCTGGGGAGTTGTTGGAAAAAAATAGTTTGCGCATCGCCAAGATTTCAGCACGTGACTCTTATCGATTCCGATCCTCTCTAATTTTGCTTCCTCACTTTTTGATGACCCATCCAGCCATCCATATAAAATTCACTCCACCACAGCCACACCTTGCCAACTGACCAACCTCAGTACACACACAAGATAGTGCGATTCTAAGACACTGCCACCATCCCTAGAAAAATCCATTCATCATGGCGGACGCCCCGCCCCCGCCAACTGTGCCAGACCAGGCCTCGACGAATACTTCTTCTTCAACCTTCACTTCGACACTTGCTGCGGCACCAGCACCCGCACCAGCACCCGCAAAACGAGGCACGAAACGAGGCGCCAGCTCTACTCGAGCTCCCCGCGCAACCCGGAAACCGAATTTTGTCGGCCGCCGCAGCAAAGAAGAGCGTGATGCACTCGAACGGGAAGCAATGGAATTGGAGCGGTCGAGGAAAGCAGAGCGGGATGCTGTAGCTCGGCGTGAGAACCGTGGACTGTTCCGTGGTGCTCGAGGAAGGGGAAGGGGGGAGGGGGCACGGGGACGAGGGCGAGGAGGGTTCATGGGGGATGTGATCAGTGGACCGTTTTCTCAGGGGAGGAGCACGGCTGGTATGTATCGAATCTGTGGCTTGGTTGAAATGGAGGTAGTAATTGAGTATCAGATATGGCGAAGCGCACGCAGACATCTGGCGCTTTCAGCGGAGCATCTGGGTCGCGAGCGTACATCAAGAATGAGATGAAAGCCGAAGATGATGAGGATGCGGAGATGAACCGCGCATTGGGCTTCACGTCAAGGATCAAGAAGGAGAAGACGACGCAGGATGGTGGGTATGTCTCTTCTGACGATGACGACGGCGAGTTTGGCCCCAGGCTGGATATCGATGCTATCGATATCTCGTCTGGTGATGAGGCGGGTGATCTGGAGGGCAAGCCGAGAGAGTCGAGTGTCCCGCACGCGCTCATGCCGATTCGGATTCCAAGGCGCGAGCATCAGGATCGTGTGATCGGCATCAATACTGAAGCCAGCAATGCAACATCGGCGAAGGTTGCAAAACAGGCAGCGGAGAAAGGGGCTTCTACTACTGATGAGACTACTGAGTCTGCAACTCGGAAAGGCAAGGCGAAAGCGAAGGATGTCGAGATCACCGAAGTGCGAAAGCCATATAAAGGCATGTGGCAGGATTCAGACGACAAGGACGAGGAAGTCCGGATCAAGGCTGAACCAATCGACGACGACGAGCAGCCCATCACAGCCCCGGAGGCAGAGGCAGCCCCAGAGGGTGCCGATGAGGAGGCAGCGGAAAAGGAGGAGCCACAATCGCCACAGCTTGACAAGAAGTCCCACCTCAAAGGCAAAGGCCGCGCGCGCCGTCGTTCTGGTGTCCAAGACTCAAAACCATCACTCCAAACCGAAGAAGAGAAGCAAGAATGGCAGCGATCGCAAGCAGAACTCGAAGACATTCTCGTCGAGCTCGGTCAGGCGCAGTCCGCACCACGGAGCAAAGACCAAGACGCGGATGTCGAAATGAAAGATGTCGAGCAAACGAAAGACATGAAGGAAGATCGAGTCTACCTTTTCCAATTTCCACCCATCATCCCCGCCCTCGTCCCGCCAGCTGTCAAGAAAGAGGCACAGGAAGAACCGGCCCCTATCATCGCGGAAACGAATTCGACGCCTATCAAGATTGAAGAAGACGCTCCACCAAAGCCGGCCTCGTCAACCCTCACGTCTGGCCGCGTAGGCAAGTTGCGAGTTCACCAGTCCGGAAAAGTGACGCTGAACTGGGGCGGTATGAGTCTGGAGATCAAGAAGGGCATGAGTACCCATTTCTTGCAGGATACGGTCGTCACACGCATCACGCCGCAGAACGAGAGGGTCGGACCTGGAGATGAGGGTGACGCGTTGGGGTTTGGACAGGCTAGGGGCAAGTTTGTCGTCACGCCTGATTGGTCTGCGATGCTATGAATGGGACAGCTCTTGGACACGATTCGAGCATAAAAAAGGCGTATTTTTGGTGGTGCATTGCAGGTTGGGGATACAGATAAAAGGATCTAGCATAGCGATGGTTGAACAGCTTGAGTGGTCTGGATTGATGTTCAGGACATCGGATATTCAAAGTTAGAAATCCATACCTAACATACTTGCTATCGATGCTTGTGCATTTTAGAACTAGTTCTAAGCATACTTCAAGGTGCTTTCGAAATGAGGTCACACGTCCAGCCTGTGTACATCTATCTCTAGCTGTCCGAGGTCTTTACCGGTATTCCAGTTGACGCAGTTACGTCTTATTCAGATTTCAAAAAGAACCCAGTGTCATGACAGTAGCTTGAAAGTGTACACGATGTATTGATAGTGGCTAATTGGGTATATGTTTGCTCTGCTCAATCCCCCTATATCAACAAATCCCAGACAACCAGCGTCAAACAGAACGCGCTGGTCCCATAAAACAGCATGCGTGCCGTGCTCTTACGCTCTGCAGCTTTTTTCAGCTCTTTGTTACCGCCGCCTACGTTTTCGGCCGTTTGGTAGGTATTATCGATCAGCATGTCGATATGCTCGGATTGGATAGCGAGATTATTGACGATATTGCTCTGAAGCTCTGATATCTCCAGGAGTGACTTCTCAGCATGCCTATATCATCAAAATCAGCATTGCTCCAATGCATTCTAAGAGGTTTCCGACATCCATACCTAACCTGATCCAACGAATCCTCATACTGCTTCAACATATCCTGATTATCCTGCGCAAACATCTGCAACTGCTCCGGCGCCAGCCTCTGCTCCGTCAGCCTCTCCTCCTCCTCATAACGCTCCATCGCCGCCAGCCCCTTCCCCCCAACCCCTGCCCCATTCATCCCACTACCCCCATTCACGCCCTCCATCCCCGGCACAACCACCCCCTTCGGCACCGCATGCAGCACACTCTTCTCCCTCTCAATAACCCGCCGTATCCTAATCCCAATCATCTCATTCCCAAACGCCGCGCACAGCCCCAGCTGCGTCTGCAAATACTCCAGCACGCCGGCCCTGCACGCGCTGAACTGCCGCTCCCGCTCCTCCGCCGCCTCCTCCTCGGGGCTCGCGGCCGTTATCGCGCCGCCCGCGGCCCATCGCCCCAGCGCGCCTAGGCCTGTTCTCGCGCGCTTCTTGAGCGCGAGCGTGGTGGTCGTCTGCTGCCGCACGGCCTCGGCGTCTTTGAGCGAGGCGACGGCGGCGGTGAGCTCGCGGATGAGCTGTTTGGTGCTCGCGTCGATTTCTTCTTTCTGCGCGTCGGTGAGGTGTTTGACCGCGTGGCGGGCGGGGTGGAAGGGGGTGTTTGAGGAATTGCTGGAGGTGCGCGCAAGATGGGCGCGTGAGGGGCGGTCGGTGGAGAGGTAGGAGGCGCGGGTTTGGCGGAGGTATTTGTAGAGGGAGGCGATGTGGGAGCGCTGCGTTGGGGGTTTTGTTAGTTGTTTTTGGCGGTAGAGGGGATGAAGGGCTACGTGGACGTACGATGCGGTAGGCTTCTTGGAGGAAGTCGTCTAGGCGGCGGATGTCGAAGATTTCTGGGGGAGAGATGGGGGGCGCGGAGTGGCGGGCTAATGCCGCGTTGAAGTCGGGGGTTATGTCCATGGTGGGTGGTGCATGGTAGAGCGAAAGTGCGGTGGTGAAGTTGGTGATGTTGTTGGAAGCTGGGAAGAGTGGTCCAAGCGGTGGTGGGATGCAAGAGCTTTATTCAGTTTCAGGTGTCACCACTGTCCATGATTATGGAGGCTGAGGTTTGCGACCTTGAAAGACTTTCGAACTGAGTGGTTCTCGTGTCATTAAGAGTTTAGAAAATATTGAAGGACGTCAGACAATGGTGCCCCAGAATACATCTACGCATCAAGCACAGGCGGTCGTGGCCCCGTGACGAGGTGGGATGCGGTGACGGAGGACATCTTTTTTCTTTTCCGCTGCGCCTTAAGAAGTACATAATCTACGCCAATACATTGCCTCCTTGTACCCAAAATATACTCTCGATATCACGCAACAGGCCCCCCCTTACATATCAAGGACCCGAGTCAATTGCGCTGACTGTGCTGTGTGAATTGGTTCCACAGTCCTCTTCAGCTAGAGTACTCTCCGCACCTCCGATGACTCCTCCGCAATTATCATAAACACCATAAAGACTTCCGCACGCCCAGCTCTCACACCACTCCACCACCATCATGTCAACCTTCGGCACCCACTTCAGAGTTCATACGTAGGTACTGTTCTTCGAATTGAACATCAGCCACTGACATCCTCCAGCTATGGCGAGTCCCACTGCCTCTCAGTGGGATGCATTGTGGTATGTCACATAGTTCTACGCCAATTGCTTCACGGTCTCTTTCGTTAGAAAGCATGCTAACGTATATAAAAGGATGGCGTGCCCCCGGGCATGGAGCTCACTGAAGCCGACATCCAGCCCCAAATGACACGGCGAAGACCCGGCCAAAGCGCCATCACTACTCCCCGCAATGAGAAAGATCGTGTTGAGATTCAGTCGGGGACAGAATTCGGCGTCACGCTCGGGTCTCCGATCGCATTGCGCGTGATGAATGAGAACCAGCGGAAGCAAGATTATGGGAACAAGACTATGGACCTCTACCCACGCCCGAGCCATGCGGATTGGACCTACTTGGAGAAATACGGCGTGAAGGCGAGTAGTGGCGGCGGGAGGAGTAGCGCGCGAGAGACAATAGGTACGAACACGCTCTCGAGGATCCATACCCTCCACCCTTCAACAGCAACCCAATCGCTAACCCTCCCCAGGCCGCGTAGCAGCAGGCGCCATAGCAGAGAAGTACCTCCGTCTCGCACACGGCGTGGAAATCGTCGCCTTCACCACTTCCGTCGGCAACGAATTCCTCTTCCCGCCCACCCCCTCCCACCCCACCGCCTCCACAAACCCAGACTTCCTCAAACTCCTCGACGTGATCGACCGCGAGACCGTCGACAAGCATATCCCCGTGCGCTGCCCCGACGCCGCCGCAACCAAGCGCATGGAAGACCTCATCGCCGAGTACCGCGACCGTCATGACAGCATCGGCGGCGTCGTGACGTGCGTTATACGGAACTGTCCCTCAGGGCTCGGCGAGCCCTGCTTCGATAAGCTGGAGGCTATGCTCGCGCACGCGATGCTGAGCATACCCGCGACGAAGGGGTTTGAGATCGGGAGCGGGTTTGGGGGATGTCAGGTGCCTGGGTCTGTTCATAACGACCCTTTCATCAAAGCGACGGATTCGGCTGCTGGACGGCCGCGCTTGACGACCAAGACGAACAACTCCGGCGGTATCCAGGGCGGTATCTCGAACGGCGCGCCGATTTACTTTAATGTTGCGTTCAAGCCTCCTGCGACTATCGGCCAGGCGCAGACGACGGTTACGTACGATGAGGAGGAGGGTGTCTTAGAGGCGAAGGGCCGACACGACCCATGCGTTGTTCCACGCGCCGTGCCAATCGTAGAGGCTATGGCTGCACTAGTCATTATTGATTCATTAATGGCACAGCAGGCGAGGCAAACGGCGCGGAGTCTGCTGCCGCCGCTGAAAGCCACGATTCCGGCGGAGAAGACGGTAGTAGGGAATAGCAAGCTACAAGAAGAGATGACGAATGGGTCTTGATAGACGACAGTTCTTTCTTCTGGGCTGGTTTAGAAGATAGTGGGCGGAAGATGTGCATGTTTCAACAAAAGCACTGCTGTTTAGGCGATCAGAGTACGAGAACGGCGTTGAACAGGGTCTTAGGCCAGATATACAGTCCTCGTAACTCGATTCAACATTAAGAAAATGCAGCCGAGTTATCAACCGCGCTTTTGCCTCTGCGCCATACGTTTCCTTTGCATCCCGAACTGCCCCTTAACTGGCTCAGCTGGCTTGTCCGGCTTCGCTTTCGATGCCGCACCACCCTCCTCACCCTTCCCACCCCTGCCTTTCTTAAACCTCTTCGAATTCTCCTCATAACTCAACCCATTCCTCCTCGGCTTATGCTCAGCCCCCGCATCCCCATCATCCCTCTTCCTCTTCTGCCCACCCCACCTATCATCCTTCCCCCTATCCCCCTTATCCTCCCGCCCACCCTTCCTAGGCGCCCTATCCCCCCTCGTCTCCCCCCTCCCCTTCGCCTTATCCTTATCCTCCCTCTCCTTCCGCCTGACCACAATCTGCGCATTCTCAATCGCAAACTCCACAATCAACCGCTTCTTCCGATCCTGATTCGCCTCGACATCATCCTTCTTATTCTTCCCCTTCGTCAGCTTCACCATCGTCCGATAATCGACCGCGTGCCCGTTCAGCCACCGCAGCCCCATCAGCGCGCTGCGGTGGGTATAGTACTCGATAAACCCGTACCCGCGACTTCGCCCCGCGCCGCTGGCTTCAGCGACCTTCCCGCCGTCCGAGGTCTCGAAGACGACTTTGGCCTGCTTGACGACGCCCTGGCCGCGCTTCTTGCGGTCTGTCTCTGCGTCGCGCATTTCGGCGCCGCCGCGCGCGAGTTCTTCCTTGGAGAGACGCGTGCGCTTGCCTTCTTTGACGTCGGTTGCGAAGCCGACGACGGCTTGGCGCGCGAGAGCTTTCAGGTCTTTGGACGTGATGCTGCGGGGGATGTTGCGGATGGCGAGGCGGGTGAGGGAGAGGTGGAGCGAGGGGTTGCTTTCGATGAGCTTGCGGCGCTGAGTGGCGCTCGTTTCGCGCATGGCAACTTCAGAGGGCGAGAGGGATGCATAAAGGGGCGAGTTGGAGGCGATGGTCCCTTCGGAAAGGAGGTAGAGGCGGCGCTTATCCTTGTCGCGGTTGAAGCGGGATGCGGCGCTCTCGGTGGCGAGGCGGTTCGCGGAGACGCGGTCGACGGCGCGGGTGATGGAGAGGATGCGGCCGTCCATGGTGTAGGCGCCCGTGGGATCGGCGGAGGAGTCTTGGAGGACGGAGTGGGCAATGGTGATAGTTGAGCCATCTTTCTTGGCTTTGACGTCGTGCGTGACGTTGATTACGGGGTGGCTCTTCAGACAGGAGTCCGCATCGGCTGAGTTGTAGAAACTGACGAAGCCGGTGCCTCTGGGGCGTTCGGTTGCTTGGTCTAGGACTATGCGTGCATATCGAATTGAGCCGAATCGTGAGAAATGCTCCCGGAGTGAGTCGTCTGATGCGCTGAAGGGAAGGTTACGGATGAAGAGAGTCGTTGGGTCGTCTTTTGGTTTTGAGTCGTGTTTGGTCGCAGATTCTTCCTCGGCCTCCTCGTTCTCGTCGAACTCCTCATCAAAGTCGTCCTCGTCTTCGTCCTCGTCTAAAGTCACACCACCATCGCTTTCGGCGTCGGATGCATCTGAGTCTGCGACTTCTGCATCATCCACCTCTTTCTCGTCAGCAGTCGTCGGCTTGGTCTCTTCTTGCAGCGTCTGCCATGTAGCCTTTTCCACAGCCCAATCGACTGCGAGAGTCCTGCCATCCACCTCTTTCCCGTTGATAACCTCCAGTGCCTTCTCAGCATTCTTGCGCCCCCTCATGGTTATAAACCCAAATCCAGGCTGGAGACCAGTCTTCTGTTTTGGAATCGTGGCAAACTTGACCTTCCCAAAGCTGCGGAACAACACCGACAAATCCTCCGGCGTTTTAATGCTCCAGGGAAGATTTCGAATGATGAGTTTAGGCGGTTGTTGTACTTCACGCTTCTCTTTCTTCTTCTCTTCTCTGGCAGCCTTCGCCTCAGCCACTGCACTAGGCGCAGTACCCTTCTCCTCATCTCGATGCCTTGACTCGGCAAACTCGACCTTGATCTTTTGTCCCTTGAACTTCTTGCCATTGAATTCTTCCCGTGCTCGTTGTGCATCTTCAGCGTCGGCGAAAGTTACGAATCCGTAGCCTTTGCATTGTTTCGTAGCTGGGTCGAGAACAGCGACAGCGTGTCGGATAGGATATGAATTTGAGAAGTATTCCGTGAGCTCTTCTGTCGTTACTGTAGCTGGGAGAGATCTGACGAAAAGCGATTTTCTCTGCTCATTGGTGTCCTTTGATTTTTCTGAAATTGTCTCAGGTACTATTTCTGCGACCTCTGGATCGGAAAGCCTGGGCTTTTTACGTTCGGGCGCCATTGTGTTTAGATTTTGCGACTTGCGATAGATGCTGGAAAGCGGGATAGAAACTTTTCTAGAGAAGATGCCGCCGGAGAAACGATTCGCCGGGGCGGTGTAAAATTTAGGGAGCTTTGGCAGCCTTTGTCTCAAAATTTGTTCACCAAACTTGATACTCCCCACTACAACTCTGACTGCATATCTCTCACCTTAAAACCACCCCCAAAAACCTCCAACATACCCCGGAAAGACCTCTGTAACCCTCCTAGAAGAAACCGCATGGATTTGCTTGAAGCTTAGCCACAGATCCACCTAAACGACACCCCGTCACTACTCGACAATCGACGAGCATGGTCAGCCAGACAGAGCTCGACCGACGAAAGGTGATTGAAGTCTTCGGCGCTCTTATCAATCACATGTCTAACGCATCTTCCACAGATCGTCGGCATAAATGCTGAAACTGTGACCAATGTCACTTCCACAGACTACCCCGGTCAATGGCCAGGTGAAGATCATTCCTGGGACCTCGACTTCTTCAAGAAGGTAAGAGAGTGCCCCCCATAGTTTAGAGGACAAACGCTTATTCCAGCCAGACCTTCAACGTCCAGTTTCACTCTAATGACGAATTCGACGCTTCCTTCTCGCTCATTGGGCTCGATGCCTCCGTCGCAAACGCTTTCAGGCGCATCCTGATTGCCGAAGTTCCCACCGTCGCCATCGAAGACATCTTCGTGATACACAACACATCAATCATTCAAGATGAGGTCTTGTGCCATCGCATGGGTCTTATACCGTTCAGAGGCAGCCGGGATGGCTTGAGGTGGATGCATTGGTTCCGGAAGGGGACCGATGAGGACCCAGAAGGCAGCACGCACAACGACTACAATGTTTGCATTCTGAATTTGCAGATAGAGTGTACATGGCAGCCAGGTGGTCAGAATAGGGCTGTAAACGGAGAGACAGACCCGAACAAGCTTTACAACAACCACAACGGTAAGTCTCTGTAATCCCCAAGAGAGTTTCTCAGCTGACAAAGGCCCAGTATATGCCCGCGATATCGTCTACGAGCCAACTGGCCAGCAAATTTCAAGGTTCGCCGACGACCCTGTCCGAGCCGTGAATCCAGACATCCTAGTAGCCAAGCTACGACCCGAGCAGAAGATCAACATGAGAATGTACGCCATGAAGGGCATTGGTGCCGACCACGCCAAGTTCTCCCCCGTCGCGACAGCCTCGTACCGACTTCTACCAACCATCGACATCCTCAAACCTATACTCGGCCTACAGGCACAGAAGTTCGCACGGTGCTTCCCTAAAGGGGTGATTGAACTACAACCAGTCACACGTGAAGAAGCGCAGAGAAAGGGTAGTGGTTATGAGGGGCATGAGGGAGAGATGAAGGCAGTAGTGAAGGACCCGATGCGAGACACCGTGTCGCGAGAGTGCTTACGGCATGATGAGTTCAAGGGCAAGGTCAAGCTCGGTCGTGTGAGGGATCACTTCATCTTCAGGGTCGAGAGCACAGGCCAGTGGGAGAGCGATGAGCTGTTCTTAGAGAGCGTGAAGCTGCTCAAGATCAAGGCGCAACGGATGAAGCGGGGGTTGGCAGCGTTGATGCGATAGGTTGTAATTGTACGATTGGATGCCAATGAATATACCCAAAGCTATAACAGCTGAGCCGCTCTGGGAGGTGACGCCTTGGTGATTGATCAAATGCTCATTGACGTACTATGACAAGTGATTATAATCATAAAGACCATATTGTCAATATCCAACCAATAGCAAGCGAGAAATGCCGCAGCTGTCATGTGACCTTGGCGAAAATCCAAACTTTGATCCGATTGAATTTCTATCTCGATTTTGCGCAACTTCGTCCCACCAAGAGCTCCCATTCCACCCTTCGCACGACTCAAAAATGGCATCCCGAGGCGGTTCTCGAGGCCGCGGCGGCTTCTCCCCTGGTGGACGAGGCGGCGGAAGCAATTTCACGCCCCGCGGAGGTGCGACTCGATCTGCGCAAAAAGCTGCGACAGCTAGCTAACATCTTCATAGGTCGAGGCGGAGCTTACCAGCAATCATACGGACCCCCTTCTACTGTATTCGGTGCGTGAAATACTAAAGCCATGGGAAGAGAGAAGATTGGTGCTAATGTGGGGCAGAGATGGGCAAATTCGTGCATGCGTGCGAGGGCGAGATCGTGTGCGAGTCGATCAATGTCAAGATCCCGTATTTTAATGCGCCGATTTACCTTGAGAACAAGGTATGCGAATACTACAGAAACACCGGTAGAAGGCGTGTGGACATGGAGCTAATGCGAGCGCAGACACCGATCGGAAAAGTCGACGAGATCCTAGGACCGCTCAACAAGGTCTACTTCACTATCAAACCGCAGGAAGGCATCCAAGCCGAGTCATTCAAGAATGGAGACAAGTTCTTTATTGGTGGGGATAAGCTGTTGCCGTTGGACAAGTATGGATGCCTCGGATGAGAATTGAGGACAAATGCTGACTATTTGCACAGGTTCTTGCCGAAGCCTAAGCCCCCACCAGGTATGTCATTCCTCTGCTAAAATTTGTTGCCATGGTATTAATTGAGTGTGCAGGAGCACCAAAACCAAAGCGTGCCGGTGGTGGTCGCGGAGGAGCTGGCGGTGCACGAGGAGGATTCTCACGCGGACGAGGCGCACCACGAGGACGAGGAGGCTTCGGCGATCGGGGTGGCAGGGGCGGTTCCAGAGGCTTTGGCGGAGGACGAGGCGGAGGGTTCCAGTCTTCACGTGGTGCTCCCAGGGGAGGTAGCAGAGGGTTCACTCCTAGGGGACGAGGAAGTTATTGAGTGCAAATCTGGTTTCTTTGGCTGCGGCAGGCGTTCAGGTGGTGGGAAGGTCCGTGTACCGAGTTTATGGCGCTTCGACGAAGCTAAATATGCTTCGAAAAAATGATAACGTACTTCACAAGCGAGTCGGCCACACAAGCGAGTCGGCCACCTCATCATATTTAGCTGCCTTAAACGTTGATTGCTCCACAACGCCAATAGATATCAACTAGATACAAGTTGTAGCCTAATCTGCAGCAACCTCTGCATATTTTTTGCACGTACGAGCGTTGTGCCCTGGTTCGCCGCAGCGCCTACAGCGCTGCACGCCGCCGCTGGAGCGCGCTCCGGCTTGCTGCCTTTTGCTTTGAGCTGCCTCCTCGATTCTTTGAGCAGCTATTTGAGAGCCTGCTTCCTTTGTTAGAGTTCCTTCCCTCTGAATCCGCTTTTTTTTGCGCGCCTTGCGCTTTGTGGCAGCTTCATTTGCCTTTTAAAGGCTGGCAACTGTATCGCGCAGCAGCGTGGCTTTATGCATTATAATTGCAGCACCTTTAGAGAGGCTATTAAGCAAGTCAAGAATAGCTGTAGGCGAGCTATTTTGATGCATTTGAATGCGATTACAAATTAAGGCTGATTAAGAGTCTAGCTCGAGAGCGTTGCTTGGTGTTTTTAATTCCCATTAAGCCTCCACGGCGGGAGGCGACGGCGTACGAAGCACAACATCAAGCTTTAAGAGCACTGCCTCTGGATCAAGCGGCACAAGGCCTGCGCCTCGAAAGCTTGCGCAAATATTGCTCTTTGTAATTAAGTTGTAGAATGCTGCTTTAAATGCCGGCAGGAACTCTAGCTTTGTGATATAATTGATGTAGTGGCGTACTAGGTCCTCAATTTGGCGCCCGTACGCCTTTTTCAATGGCAAAAAGCAGCCAACATCAAGCGGCTGCAGCAGGTGCGACGAATGCGACGGCATACAGAGAGCAATGATGTTGTTCTCCTTGCAAATTTGTTGGAATTCGAGCGAGATATGGCTCTCATGGCCATCAATAATCAGCAGCCGATGCGTGCCTATGGTGCGATCTTTTGTATGCATATTAAAATGCTGCAGCCAGGCAACACCAAGCTCATTCGTTGTCCAGCCATTGTCGCTCACTGCCATAACCCAGTCCGGTGGTATATCGTCGCCCTCGTACCATGCAGAGAGATGGTACTTGCCTGCAAAGATGATGAATGGCGGGATGGCCCATCCACAGGCATTGATTCCTTGGATTATTGTTGTCCATTCGCGATTGCCTGGCTGTACAGCTTTTGGTCGATTGCGCCGCTCGGAGCCTGTTACAACCATGCTTGATGAGATAACGCCCATTTAGAAGCCAGCTTCATCAAAGTTGTATGTATCGTTATTAATAATGCCGTACTTTGCTTTTATATTGTATACAAGCTTAAACCAATTGCCAATAACCTCTGGATCTTCGCATAGAGCTCTTTAATAGTCGTACTTTCGATTAAACTTTGTTTTAAGCTCGTCCGTTCGCTTGATAAAGTTGTTTGGCCAGTTAATGCCCACTTGGCCAGCACCGCGCTCGGCGAGTAGCTTGTTGGCTATCTCTCGTACAGCAGTTAAGCTAGGCGAAAACCCTCGCGAATCCAGGTCGAGTATATGTTGAACAATGGCTGATTCTTCAAGCTTTGAAAGCTTCTTTGAATTAGGCTCACAATCGCGTCGTGCAGTCATTCCGCCGCGTCGGTCTTGGAGCGTGCTTTTGGGGACATTGTATATGCCTGCAGCGCGTCGTTCGCTTGGAATTTGATTTCGTCGGATAGCTAGGAGAGCTAAGGCTAGCCTGCCTTCTTTTTGGATTGATTGCGCGTTGTGTTGTCGACGCATATTGGTTGTTGGTTGACGCGTCGCGTTTTCGTGATGAGGTGGCCGACTCGCTTGTGTGGCCGACTCGCTTGTGTGGCCGACTCGCTTGTGAAGTACGTTACCTATGCTCAAAACTCTTTCACAAATACTGCCAAGGCCGCTAGTGATTTATGAACTTCACAGCCTTTGGAACCTCCAAAACTTAACAACGCGACGAGAAATATAGCAAGATCTACCAACCGCCAATATGAAGTTAGATACCAAGGCTATCCGCCACCTCACGGCCGAGGACTGGAGAGTTCTTACTGCTGTGCGTGTGCTCTGCGAAAATTTGGATGGAACTCAACTGATGCTCCACAGGTGGAAATGGGCAGCAAAAACCACGAACTCGTGCCCACAAAACTAATAGGACAAATATCTGGCCTCAAGAGCGGTGTTCATAGAAATATCTCCAACTTAGCCAAGGTCAACTTGATCGCAAAAATTCAAAATGCAAAATGTAGGCTCTATTTCTTTCGTCTTTCGTTCATCTCTAAGTTTCTTTCTTCAATATCGTCCACTCACACTATGAAAAGACGACGGCTACCGCCTAACCTATGGCGGACTGGACTACCTTGCCCTCAACACCCACCGCAAATCCACTAGCATCTATAGCGTCGGCAACCAAATCGGCGTCGGCAAAGAATCAGACATCTACGTCGTCGCCTCCGCAGAAGGCATCCAGCGCGTGCTCAAAATCCATCGTCTAGGCCGCATCTCCTTCCGCACTGTCAAGGCTAATCGCGACTATCTCCGCAACCGGACTTCTGGATCATGGATGTATATGAGTCGTCTCGCGGCACTGAAAGAGTTTTCGATTATGAAGGCGCTGCATGAGAATGACTTCCCGGTGCCAGTACCGGTGGCGCAGAGTAGACACACGATTGTCATGAGTCTGATCAACGCATTTCCCTTGAGGCAGATTAGCAGTGTTCCGGATCCAGCGGGGCTGTACGCAGAACTGTTGGCATTGATTGTGCGCTTAGCGGGAGTAGGGCTCATTCACGGAGATTACAATGAGTTCAACATTCTCATTGAGGAGAGGAAGATGGGGCTTGATGGGAAGACTCATTCGCTGCCAGATATTGAGGAGGAGCAAGAGCTGGATGCACTGGGGAATGCGCCGATGCTTGAAGGTGGCACAGAGGTGAAGGAGCCCACAGAATCGATTACGCTCGTCCCGACTATCATCGATTTCCCGCAAATGGTCTCGATTGATCATCCGAATGCGCAGTACTACTTCGATAGGGATGTGGCGTGTATCAAGCGCTTCTTCTCGAGGAGGTTCCACTTCACTAGCGATGAACCCGGTCCGTTCTTTGCAGAATCGATCAAGGTTGTTCAGAACCGGTTGGATATTGCGGTTGAAGCTTCGGGGTTCAGCAGGAAGATGGCGAAAGAGCTGGATGCGTACATGAAGGAAGTCGGTGCGGATGGTATTGAGGGCGAAGGACGGGCAGAGGGCGAGGAGGAAGATGATGACAGTGAGCTAGAAGAAGGAGGAGTTCTTGTTCAGCCAGAGGTTGGAGCACTGCCGCCGACCGAAGATGAAGAAGTGCTCGCCTCACAAGGTGGCCCAGTCACAGCTGCCAACCTAAGGCTCCTGCATTCGAGTCTTGTCCACGGTATGGAGGTTCTTGATATTAAGGATGGAGAAGCGGCACCGGAGCTCGTTCCTGCTGTTGCTCCATCTGTTGCTCAGTCAACCTTCTCTAAGCGTGGCGCTGCTAAGGCGGCTGCTGGATGGTCTATATGAGTATAGGAGCCCTTGTCAAAGGCTACAATCTCCTAGTATGAAGTGGGGTTTCAGCATCTTCCAAGGGTCTAAAAACGGCTTTGTCTGAAAAGTTATGCGATACACAAGCTCCAACCAACAACAAGGAACAGGGACCAGTCTACATTGATGCAATCCCAATCTTGAGAACTGGACCAGTTGAAGACACCCCGGGCCAAGAACAAATTTTAAGTTCCAGAGCGAGGGGTTCCAAAGGGGGTGACAGTAGACTGTTGCGATCTCGACTTAGGGATGGTGGAGAAGAAAGATGGAGTACTTGCGTACTCCAATTGCGAATATATCGTAGAGCAACGAAGAAGTCCCATAATTTTAGGGCCATATCAACTTCACACATTTCAATATCCTAAGCTCTTTACGTGCAATGTATTTACAACCGTCGTAGGGTGCTATTTTACAGAGATGATCTACAATGCCCCAAACGCCATGCTAATGCTGTCCAATATCGTCCCGCCTTATATGACGAAACAATCGAAGGTGTGTCTCCAAATGCTCAGGTTCTCCCGGCCACCCCAACCCCAAACCCAACCAACACGCCCACATGTGTCGCGGACCCCTTGACCGGAGGCACCCAGAGAGGAGAATATCGTCAAACCACCGCCCCATCCAACCTACCACTACCGGTCCTTGAACACCTTCGGCTTCCACCCCTCCTTCAACTCTGCCTCTCTCGCCGCCACTTCCTCCGCCGTCCGCACTTCCATCTCTATCCGCTCCCGCGCGCGCAGAATCTTACTTTGCAGATAAAAACTCCCTCCCTTCTTCGGGTCATTCAGATCAAACAGCTTCTTGAATCGCTCTTGCACAGCCGTGAGGTTCGTCTCTCCGCCCTTTGGTGGCGGCACATTCAGGATCTTGCACGCTTCGTCGAGTGTCAGGCCGGAGGCGGAGAAGGTTGTAGTGTTTGGGTTTTTCGAGGCGGCGGCGGCGTATTTTTGGGAAGCGGCGGCTTGTCGATACGATTCGGCGAAGGCACGGCCGAGGATGCGCGAGCCGGTGAGGACGACTTGGGTTATTATGCGATGCGCCTGGAGGGGGTTAGAGAGGTGGGTGGTTGATGGGAGGTGGCGGTGGTTTTTACCATTGCGATGTGCTGTGGAAGTTTGGCGGCCGAGCGGAGGTTTGAAGGGCGGCGCTGGTTGGGAGAGATGGATTGAGCGCAATATGGATGGATTCAAGGCGGCTGACGGCCGGCGGAGGAATTGTTGCAGGCGTCGGCGAGGTAGTGGTAGATGGGATGGGATGAAGCATAGAAAATTGATCGGAGGTCTGGCAGTCTCTCCCGAGATACATTACGTAGAGTATGTCAGCGAATATTACGGCTCTACCGCAACCACAATGAACGTTCGAGTCACAAACCTTTGAAGTTTACTTCTTTCTTTCCTGATACTTCGAATAAACAGATTCCCTTAGCTACGTGGACGGATGACTACAGTATCATGTGCACCAGCCTACGAACTGACTACCTCTTCCTACACCACGTCTCAAAATAAAAAAAGCTAGGGTCCTAGATCTACAGTCACTGGCGGGTTCCTTGAAAACAATGCCACATTCAACAATGCCGCAACCAGGCTTCCAGGCCGTCATCCTCTGCGGGCCAGGGGCCTCTATGAGCACATTTACCTCGAATCCCGCCGATATTCCAAAAGCTCTCCTCCCAATCGCGAATAGGCCTATGGTGTGGTATCCTCTGGAATGGTGCTATCGCATGGGAGTCACAGGTACATCGCCCTTCTAAACGTTCGCTCCAAGTCTTGTCGCGGGTCTTAATACACCTATCTACCACCGTATGAAGTCGTTCGAGACACTTTCAGGACTCTGAACGTGGTGGGGGTTCATATTTGTGAATAACTCCGAGCCTCGCTGGACCACCTCATATGGCGGCAGAATAGTGTATACATTCGTGACGACACATTTTACGCAGCTTCCAGACATAATAGCATACTTACGTTCTGCAGATATCACGCTCATCACACCCGCCGAGTCCAAGGACGCAATCGAAGCTGCTTTGTCGCAAAACCCCCACCTCACGTCCCTCCCCGCACCTCGGCCTGACCTCAAAGCCCCGAAAGGGTTGACACACCAGACAGGCACAGGGGAGATATTTCGACTAGAAGAGGTGCAAAAGATCATTACTGGTGACTTCATTGTTCTGCCATGCGACATAGTTTGCGAGCTTGGTGGGGCATCATTAGCTGAAGCATGGATGGTTGAACAAGGAGGTCTCGGTGGAGCTACGGGTGGCATCTTCGATGGGATAAAAGCACCGATAGGGCTTGGGGGTGAAAAGATTGGTCGAAGAGGTGGATTAGGTGTTTGGTACGAAACGAAGACCGAGGATGGCGTGAAGGGAGAAGAGACGGATTTCATTGCCTTAACGCCTCTATCACCACCGATTGTACCTCCGTCTCGAGACTCTTTACGCCGAGATATCTCCAACCTGGCATACACTGTACCTACCGATACGCTGAACGATATTGTCGAAGCCCGGAGAGTCCTACCCGTTCGGCATCAGCTACTCAAGAAGCACGGGCGCATAAAGATGCTGACCACACACCGAGACGCACACGTCTACTTCTTTCCGTACTGGGTGCTGGAGATGATGAAGAGAAACGAGAAGTTTGAGAGCATCAGTGAAGAGGTGTTGGGATGGTGGGCGAAGGCTGGATGGCAGGAAGGTCTGGGAGACAAACTCGGTCTACGAGATATCTTCCAAGATGGAAGCGGCTCAGACAGTCCCGTCTCTAAGTCTTTCGGCTTAGACGAAGAAATCAATGTTGCCAAGCTAAGCAGCACATGGGTTGATCCAAATCCAAGCGCAGATGGAGGAAATGCACCGCTTTCATTTGCATCAAGAGTTCGAGACCCTGATTCTCCTCAAACACCACTATCGACCTTGAACCAAAAGCTACCACTACCAATACCTCCGATTTTGGCCTACATCCAACCATCAGCACCCACCAACGCCCTCATCCGCCGCGTGGATTCTGTACAACTCCTACTCAACGTCTCCCTCCGTCTGGCGAAACTTCCATCAATAGAAGAAGTTGGCGCAGAAAAAGCCTCACCTCTCGCGCACAAGTTCAAGATCGCACACAAAAAGACAATACCAAAGCGTTGTAGTGTGCAAGCCGAAAACTCTCTCCTCGCCGAAAACGTCACCGTGGAAGAGAAGTGCAACATAAAAGAGTCAGTCATCGGCTTCAACTGCAAGATCGGAGAGGGAGCTCGCCTCTTACGCTGTCTGATTATGGACGGCGCGGAGGTAGGGGCCAATGCACAGCTATCCGATTGTGTGCTTGGAAGGAGGTGTAGGATTGAAGGGGGCCCTGCGAAGGGTGATGACAAAACGGTGCTGAAGAAGTGTGAGGTTCAGGAGGGCCATGTGGTCAAATGGGGCACGACGGCCAGCGATGAGAAGTTCATGAGGTTTGACCTGCCGAGTGATGATGATTTGGAGGAAGGGGATGCTGGGTTCGCAAGCGATGGAATCGAGGCGTCACAGTCGGAGGGCATATCTTTGCGATGAAGTGCCTTTAAGTAGGTATGCGTACAACTAGTCCAGCACTGTCACTGAAGTGCTTCGACACTTTCAAAGTGTCAATCAACTGTTTCAACTAACCTGGTCGCTCTCCGCACTAACATGAGCAATGATGAACTTTTAATGGCAAGGAAACGTTGCAAGCTTAGTACAGCATCATAGAAGCTTCCCTGGAGATTTTATATGTCGTGGACACGGCGACGTTGTCAGGGGTCCTCTGCGATACCATAAGAACCTAGGCACGCTGGGCATGGAAAAAGTGGCACACTCATCAAGTACGCAGCCCGGCCCGTGCATACACCTATCTGCCACTGCATGAAGTGCTTCAACAAGTTTCCACTTAGACCAAAGCGAAGAACTTTTATCTTGTTCCAATACTTGAAAATTCTCTGAAGCACCCTAAACAGTGGCAGACAGGTATACACATGAGACAGCTTGTCCTGGAATTAGTGTGCCACCTTTTCCATGCCCCGCGTGCTAGGCTAGATGTAACGACTACCATAACTGAAATTAGGCTTCGAAAATAAGCCCTGATTAAACATTCCGTGGGCGCTCTAAGTGGCTGTTTACTGCGGTACAAGAAGTCTGGAAACGTGATGATTTAGAAATGTATCATGTGAGCATTTGAGCCAATGAGAAGAACTTGACACTTGTTCTTGCTATACAACACATATTCCACGTGCTAAAATCTATACATATGTTTGAGTTCTACTACAGTCTCATCTCATAAGTTCAGTCCGACTTCAGTGTTCAACCTCACAATAAAGCGACAAGATGGTGAGTGTAATCTACGCCTAAAGAAGCGTTTCTTTATGCTGACTCAACAGCCGATCATTCACCCCCCGTGGCCCCTGCCGATGCATTTCATGAACGCTCCGGCCAGCAACGCCAGCAACAACCGCTACAGCGCCAACACCTCCGCCCGATTCGCGCACTCCCACCGCATAACCACCTCCAACATGGCGACCGCCTCTATCCAAGACCGCACCGCCGAGTTCCGCTCCATCCTCGTTCAAGCTCAGCGCCGCCACCCGCAGCAGGGCCGCCAACCACTCCTCTCCCCCTCGCAGAAAGCCTCCGCAAATGGAACCGCCACACCCAGCAAGCGCTCCGAGTTTGCGCGGCGCGCCGCAGATATCGGTCGCGGGATCTCAGGCACAATGGGCAAGCTGGAGCGCCTGGCGGAACTCGCAAAGCGGAAGACCCTCTTCGACGACCGGCCCGTCGAGATCAACGAGCTCACCTACATCATCAAGCAAGACCTGTCGGCGCTGAACACGAACATCAAGGGCCTGCAAAGCCTGACAGCCGCGCAGCATCCGAATGCGAAACCGGGTGGCGGCGACCAAGTCGGGGAGCATAACCAGAACGTGCTTATGCTGCTGCAGAGCAAGCTCGCGGACGTTGGGGGCAACTTCCGAGAAGTGCTGGAGGTGCGGACCAAGAACATCCAGGCGAGCCGGAGCCGGACGGAGAACTTTGTGAATGTGGCGGCAAGCCATAGCCAGTCGCTGGACCCGCAGCGGACGGATAGCCCGCTGTATAACCAGACGCCGCAAAGGGGACGATCGCCTGGGTTCCAGAATACGAGCGCTGCGCAACAGGACTTGCTGTCGCTGGATCCGGCGGGGAGTTCGGCGCTCATGCGGAATGGGCCGCAGAGCGATGCGCAGTTGATGTTGATGGAGGAGGCACAGCCGCAGAATCAGTATATTCAGCAGCGGGGGCAGGCGATTGAGACCATTGAGAGCACGATTAGTGAGCTCGGGAGTATCTTTGGGCAGCTGGCGCAGATGGTGTCGGAGCAGAGTGAGCAGATTCAACGTATTGACGCGAATACTGAGGATGTGGTGGATAATGTGCAAGGGGCGCAGAGGGAGCTGATGAAGTATTGGAGTCGGGTTAGTGGGAATAGGTGGCTGGTGGCCAAGATGTTTGGGGTGTTGATGATATGTGAGTTTCCTCTATTGAGTATATGTTGCTGGAGACATTGTTTACTGACTTTTGATCCTAGTCTTCCTTCTTTGGGTTCTAGTCGCAGGATAGCATGCATCAAGGCTGCTTTCAGGGCACATCGCATTCACGGAATGGTTTAGTCTGGCCGCAGGTGTGAGATGAATGGGTATACCCAAATAATGAAACATCTTACCTGCAAAGGTCCGGACCTGACGAACAAAATAAAGCCAATATCAGTACTGACGCTTGGATAAATCGTCGTAGAGCGTCGATTATACACATTCCGGGCAACACCGCCGGCTTTCCATCCCATAGGGTTATGTTTTTAGTAGCGTCTTAGAATACTTTTATTATCACTGGTAGAATTTTCTTATGTCTGACGCTAGTCGCTGTGTATTATATAGAACAGGTTACTATAGACCTCAGCAATCCAAACGGTTCTTGGAGAGACCTAGAACTCTTACTCGCTTAGCAAATGCATCACTGCCGCCTATTTCAATCACGTAGCCAATTTCATCGATGGACTAAATGTTGGTTCTGAATTGCAAGACATCATAGAGCTTCATACAAAGCCCTATTCTAAACTAACAATGACTGTGCATCCAATCCGATACCAGAGCGCCCCGAACGCCACGGCTCTGCTAGGCAATGAAATCCACATGTTGCACCACGATCACGCTTCCGCCTCCACCGCCTCTACCTTCTTTTTCTTCTTCTTTTTCTTCTCGCCGACCTCTCCATCTGCCCTCTTCCTCTTCTTCTTCACGGCACCCTCCTCCACCGGCGGCACAAACTCCTGCAACCTCTGCACCTTCTTCGCCTCCATTTTCTCCTTCAACTTCTCCTCGCGCTCCTCCCGCGCCCTCCGCTCTTTCGCCTGCTTCCCCAAGAAGAACTCTCCACTCTCGATCTGCAAATCCACCTTGCTCTTCTCCTGTGGCGGCGGGAACGGCGTATACGGCTTCTTGCTCTTATCCGAAACCTTGAACGGCACCTGGCGCCTGCTCAGACTCCGCTTCTTGAAGTTCGGCAGGAAGCGGTCCCAGTTCTCGCCAACCAGCTCCGGGTCTTTGGCCAGCTCTTGTCGGACCATAAGCTCCTTAATCGCATAAATGGGGTGGATATTCGCCATCGTGTCTTCGATGATACGGCGCACAGTTTTCAGGCCCTTGTACCCTCCCATCGCCGAGACCGTGTTTCCTTGCACAAGTATGTAGCACTCCGTAAGCAGCTCCAACGCCTTCAGCGTCGAGCCATTCGGCCCCAAAATCCGCTGCCGCCGCTTAACAAAGCGATCCTTATTCCTTACCAGATTCCGAATCTTGATAATATCGCAGGCGACTCCATCCTCCAAGATCTTGACCGCCTGCGGCGCGGGGACCGACCGCGCCAGCAGCTTGATCAGGTCGCGCGCGTTGAGGATGGAGGCCGGGTCGAAGGTTTTGCGGGTGGTTTTGACAGTCATGCTGCCCTCGACGAGGTCGAGCGTGCAGGCGATGCCGAACTTCTCGAGCGAACGCGTGATGAGCGGCCAGGCGGTGCGGAGGTAGACTTCGCGGTATTTGGGGAAGAGCGTCATGAAGGAGGACTCTTCGGCGAAGGTGCCGCCGATGTTGTCTTCGGGCTTGAAGGCGTCTTCTTTCCATTTGTCGATGTCGTCGGTGTCCCATGGTTTGTCTTTTTTGTAGGTCGAGGGCATGGCGGGCGGTGGGGGGTGGGTTGTGGACCTCCGGGAGAGTTGTGGGGAGGATTTCCTTGTATTGGAGTTGGAGAAGTGGAAGTCGAGCTAGGTAGAACACCTAGGCCTAGTTTATGAAGTGTGAAAAGTAGTTGTAGAGTATTTGTCTTGGTTATGGTGATTGGAGGATGCGATTGAGGTTGAAGTTGAGATTTTGGACTGCCAAGAGAAAAAGTTCGATCCCCACTTTTTCCCGCGAAAAATAACCTTCGACTTCCCTTCCCTCTGAACACCAATTCGCAGCCTACACCTACGACCAGTACCGGGCTTCAAGATGGGATCTTCAAGAGCTGTGCGGACCGATAAGTCGCATCTACCGTTCAAGACGGGCAACAAAACGAAACGTCACGAACTTCACGTCAAGCAGAAAAAAGCTAGGGACAGCCTCAAGCGGGATGAGAGGTTCCGGAGGAGAAGAGAGGAAGAGAAGAACCCACAGCTGAGAGAAGAACGTCTCGCGCGGAATGTGCCAATTACAATTGATCAGAAGCGGACGTGGGACCAAGTTGGAGGGGACGAAGAGGATGCATTGGGGCTTGCGGTCGACGTAGACCGAATAAAACGGCAGAAGACTGAGGTGCAGGAGAAGGAAGCTGATCAGGAAGACGAAGAAGATGAAGAGGAGGAGATTGAGGAGCGTGACAGTGACCTGGATAGTATGTTGGACGAGGACGAAGATAAGGAAGACTCTTCAGACGAGGACAACGACAAGGGCAAACGAAAGCGAAAGGAACGGGTTCTCCCTCGCCGCGCAATAAGCCCGACGAGCACCACAGGCACGAATATGGATCTCACCCCCGAGGGCTTAGTGGCGAAGTTTCCGACGCTGTTTGCTGCACAAGAAAGGGACCCAAAGGTTCTCGTCACGACGTCTATCAATAGCAACCTCCACTACGAGGCCGAATTGATATGCAGCCTATTCCCTAATAGCAACTATATCAGACGTACAGCGCATTTCAACGCGCACAAATACTCAGTCCGGGAGATTGCCAAGTTCGCTGCGAATAGGGAATACACCACCTTGGTCATTCTCATGGAAGATCAAAAGAAACCCGAGGGGCTGGATATCGTACATCTCCCATCCGGCCCCATGTTCCACTTCACCATCTCAAACTGGGTGGAGGGTCGGAAATTACCCGGCCATGGTAACCCGACCAACCACTACCCAGAACTCATCCTCAACAACTTCCGGACGCCGCTCGGATTGTTGACAGCGCATCTCTTCAAGACCATCTTCCCACCGCAGCCAGAAGTTCAGGGTAGGCAGGTTGTAACGCTTCACAATCAGCGCGACTACATCTTTGTTCGGAGACATCGATACGTATTTCGCGACAAGCGAGCCTCAGAAAAATCAATTCTCGACAAGGACGGCAAGCCAATGAAGGGGGCGGAGGAGATTAGGGCAGGGCTTCAAGAGTTGGGGCCAAGATTCACACTGGTCAGTATATTACTTGATCCCACGCCTTAGATCAGATTGACTAACATGCCATAGAAACTGAGGAGGGTAGATAGGAACATTCAACGGGCGAGCGGCCAGGAATGGGAATGGAAGTCGAAGATGGAGAAGGTCCGCACGAGGTTCCAGCTTTAGAGAGCTCTGGAAAGCCGACAGTTGCTTCTAGTGTAGTTGACACGAGTTCCAGCAATGATGATACCCAAAGAGCCCCCTTGCATCTAAGTCGTGTGTAGTTCTCTTCTTTTGAAGCACCATGTGAGCAGTATGGGCGCCCCGAAAGCCGTTACTCAACTCGTATCATGATTCTATGATTGACTGTTCTAAGCGTCCTGGACGCGCCTACGAAAGCATGCCTGGGTATAGCAAATGATTAAAACAGGAGAAAAACGACAATAGAAAAGGATCAAGCTAGATGCTTTGGAGCGTGCAATCCTAATATCCCGAATTTGTGTTTGGGATGGTTTTTCACGTCTATTGGATGACACTTGGAGTTGCGAACTGTGTCTGAAAAGTCCAAAGAACTTTTTGAGTAGCAGTCGTGCAACAGTGACCATGTAAAGGCTGATGAAGTCAAAAGTCTTCACCGGTATTTTATCAATAATGATGCTTCCAATTGAAGTTTAGCGCATAGCTTAATGTGAAGTGTCAACGGCGATCTAAAACATTTTCTTTCCCACTTCAAGGCCGAACCACACATCGAAACTGTCGCACTACTCATAGAGCAACAAAATGATTGCCCTCGTCGCTTTTGACCTCGACGGAACTCTTGCCGAGAGCAAGCAGCCCTTAAAAGACACGATGGGCGAGGCATTGGCTGATCTCCTGTCTGTCGCCAACGTCGCGGTGAGTAAGTACGATCTCAGGATTCATAGTAAATCTCCTAGAGTCAATTTTTCCAGAGTGCCAATCATGTCTTATACAGCGCTCTCAATTGCAGTTTCCACATCCACGTACCGTCAAAATAAGTACCTGATTCTTCTTTATTTCCAAACGCCAGGGGTGCCTTCAACATGATTCCAACAGCTCTTGGAGAAAATTAGCACTTGGGATTCTAGCTTCGAGTTTTTTTAGTTTTTTTTTGGCAAACCCGCATCTCTTTTGAACACTGCTAATGTCTACGGGTTCCTTAAGTCTCCGGAGGCGATTGGTCACAATTCAGAAAGCAGGTCGCGAGCCGCCTGCCAGCACGAGCAGACCTATCGAAGCTGTGGCTAATGCCAACCACCGGAACCAAACTCTACACGCACAAGAATGCCGACTGGCAGGCGGTTTACGCTGAGCTGTTCAGCGACGATGAGAGAAAGAAGATCATTGCAGCGTTCGAGGCCTCGCTCGAGGCAACGGGCTTCAAACCAGAGCAGACCTGGGGCGAGCGCATCGAGGATCGGGGTAGCCAGATCACCTTTTCCGCCCTCGGTCAGGAAGCACCAGTCGCAGCTAAGGAGGTTTGGGATCCTGATTTCGCTAAACGCAAGGTCATCCAGGCGGACTTGCACAAGCGACTGCCCGACCTGTCAATCAATATGGGCGGCGCGACGTCGATCGACATCACCCAGAAAGGCGTTGATAAGGGGTACGGCCTCAAGAAGCTGCGCGATGCGAGCGGTATCCCACTCGAGCGTATGATGTTCATTGGCGATGCCATATTTCCGGGCGGTAACGACTACCCTGCGAAGGAGCTTGGGCTGGAGACAGTGCATGTAAAGGATCCGGACGGGACGCTCGCCGCAATTGCCGCTATTGTTGCTTGCCTCAGGTAGCGAAGACTGTATCTCAAATAACAGGAGAAACAGCGAGGACCGTGAAGAGCCTGGGCAGAAAGCGAAGTTGGACAGATGAACCGGGGAGGATAAGCATTTTGCTCCCAAGCAGTCAGCTCTAGGAGAAACGAGGACAGAAAAGGGAGATGGGGTTGTGACTGAAGTCAAGATTCGATATGCACTCAAATTCAGTACTTTTGGCACCAAAATCATCCTCTTTTAGACGGTAATCTCCTGAAGCAAGTCTACACCACTTCTCGTCGCTTTGTTACGAACTCCAGAAGAACACGAGGCCGAAAATGAATGTATAGCATATGCATCATTTTCGAATCCAGTGATCTCTCCTCAAATCGATATTTCTTCCATTAATTTATGAATAAATAATGTCCATGCAATATTCTTCAACTTTACAAGGCTTTCCAAAGCCCTAATACTCACCCAACGCATCATCTATCCCTACAACATCGCCCACCTGGCTACCACTCCCACTGCAACCCTAAATACCTTCTTAAATCTAGGGCCGTCGCCGCACCCGTATGTATGTCGGATACCTGTGTGCTCATGAATGAAGTCATCAGTTGGCTGTCGGAGGATTGGAAAAGTAGAAAGAGGAGATTAGAGGTGGATTCAAGCTAAAGTCACGTGATAAGACCCACTCTGGCTCCTGAGTGAAGGGATTATCTATCTGTATTCCACCTATGGTTGATCATGTCAGGAATGTACATAAGAGTTGGAGAAAGGCCAAGTCTCTCGATCAACATGGCCCCTACGTACACGTGAACTCCGAGATGACAAAGCAGAGCCAAGACGACCACGCTAGGCACGAAAAAAGTGGCACACTCACCAAGTACTCTGCCTGTGTACACCCGTTTACCACTGCATGAAGCGCTTCAACAAGTTTCCACATAGCCCAAGGTAGAAAGCTTCTATCTTCTTTAGATTTCTGAAAATACATTGAAGCAACCCAAGCAGTGGCAGACAGGTGTCCACATGAGACGGCTTGTTCTAGAATTAGTGTGCCACCTTTTCCATGCCCCGCGTGACGACCTCGACGTCTGACGTCTGACGGACGCACTCACTTTCCACTTGCTCTCTCCAGCATCAGCAAAAGACTTTGGAGGATTCTTCACGTCCTTAGTGACTCAAGCTACCCTACGGGAAAGATGGTGTCCCCGGGTCTCTGATCGCTGTCGTTCGATCATACACAGCTCACCGTAGTAGGGCTGTAATGACGCCGTTACACAAAAAGAAGTGCGGCTATTTTTACTGACTCCTAAAGTCCAAATTTCGTGGATTCTCTTCCAAAGGCTACTAGGACGAAGACCAGGAGCGAATTCGGGAAAAGTATCCAAATCTACTCTCTTCTGGGAGTAGGGTTCCCGATGCGGCATTTTCATAGCTCAGATAGTACTCCAGACTGTGGGTCAATCTCATTGCTAATAGCAGTATTAGAACAGCCTCGATTTTATGGTTTCTTTTTCGAAACCCCGTGACGTCCAACTTAAGGCGCCATCTCAGCCTCACTCACGGATACAGTCGTCCCCGAGATGAAGAGCTGGTGGGGAAACCTTAGCCACCGCGTCACTGCTGCATGCTCAATCTATTGCAACAACTCTGTGGTAATGGCTGCGTCGTCGTTCGCTGGGTTTCAAGCACGATATCATGGCGTGATGTGCTGGCATAAGTTATGGCGGCCCTCCGCATTCGCAATCATTGCTCTTTCAACCCTCTTCAGCTGTTTTGAGACCAGTCTTCTCCGTCCATCCAATCCGGCTTCGTTATTGTAAATCGTGCCATGCAAGGCAGTCTACACTTTTAACCCCCAGCCCAGTGGGTTTTTCGCCACCCCTTATCTATCGTCAGGATGACACTACATGCGGGATGATCAGCGGCCCGTCTAAGCTTAGGGATGGCCCGAAACCAAGGTTCTGAAGATCGATCCATTGTCGGCTGAAGCCCTACTCTGCTATATCACCGTTTTACTCGATCTGCAGGTCCTTCCATCAGATCGAGGGTGGTGGAAATGCCTCTGACATGGTCTAGACCTCACAGGGTCTCACCAACTGGGTTGGGCGGTAGATCAACACAATCTATCCTGGTGCTTCGTGCTTTCGGTACACCTCCAGACGCCAGGGTCAGCACGCTAATCTTAACCTTAAGTACGAACCTTAAGGTTAAGTTCGATAGACTTTTCCCAGCCAATCAGGATACCGTAGTTTCAACTGAATCGTGTCGGTACCAAGCCATCCCCCACGCCACGTCATGCTCTATTTTATTTTGAACATCTGGATTGTCCTGCTGCCTTGTGTTGCATTATTCTCGCCATTTCTATGTACCTGTGAGCTAGCGCTAGCAGTCTCCGCACGCAACTCCCATGGGCTCCATTCTAAAAGCTACAGGGGTACAAATCCGAGCCTCGAATGTACCCTCTCCAAAATGCTTTCTTCGTCTTCAAAAGACTTGATCATGGACAATAGATTAGCTCTAAGCTTCCTTTGTAGGGCCAACAGCTGCACGCTGCCGCATTTTGCTGAAACCTTCTCGCAATAAGAAATTGGTCAGCTCATAGTTTTGATGAAGGCGGTGGCTTTTCAATCTATTCACTAATGACAAGATCCGAAAATGTTGCAATCATTGCATAGTTTTCGTCAATCAACGGTACTTCCAGTTTCTTCTGGGCAAGATCTGCAACTTTTCAAACTCGCCGTTTTATTGCTTAGGCTCTAAGATCCGTGGCGGCACTGTAGTTTCAACACCTACGCACTCACCATCAGTTTCCATTATGTTGCAATTGTTGCATGATTATTGTCAATAAACCGCACACACACTCGTTCTTAGGCAAATTCTGAGAACCACCAATCTCCACGCTGGAAAAAGCTCTGAGATCTGAGGCTGCATAATGGCATCAAAACTGGGGCCGAAAAACTAGCAGCTGAGACTAGTATCTCTGCAAGACAGAAAATCTTGCTCTCTTTTGTCTTTCTGACCTCGGCGACCTCGCTTCTCTACTTGCATGTAGTAGGGCGTATTGTGGAGTTCCCTTTGCGATGCTGAACATGTCTGATTATTGATATGACGATGCCTGTCTTGAGGATAGGATCGGGTATAAAAGAATAGAATGCAGGCGTCAAGGAAACAGTCTCCATTCGCAGGTTCTCCCATCAAAGCATCATATCATCATCAACATGAAGCTTCTCCACCTTCTTCTTCTGGCGTCCACTGCCATCGCTGCCCCAGCTCCGGGCTGCCCCATGGCGCACCTTCACAAACGTGCACTGCCACTTTCTGCGAACGAGGGCAATTCTGGTCCTATTGACAGCCTTACTTTTGACGCTGGCGCACAGTTCGTTGACGTCCGCCCCGGTACCACCAACGAATTCAAGTCTCCAGGCCTGAACGATTTGGTTTGTTTTGCCCGTAAACAACCATTGAACTGTGCTGATTCACTCAAAGCGTGGGCCATGCCCAGGACTTAATGCTGCAGCAAACCATGGCTTTCTTCCCCGCACGGGAATCACTTCAGTTCAGACGAGTAAGTGAATATTGCATCTTAGTACTATTAGGTAGCTAATGCTCGGTAGCGGTCGATGGACTGAGTAAGGCGTACGGTTTCGGACCAGAGTTTGCAGCTGCTCTGAGTGCCATTGCAATTGCGTTGACTGGCGACCCTACAGGCCTAACTTGGTCGATCGGGGGACCCTACCCTCCGGCGCTACTGGGAGGTGTGATCACCAATCCGGAGGGAATATCTTACTCGCACAACGCGTACGAGAGTGACGCTTCCCCTACCAGGGTCAGTTGCGCCAACACCATGCTGAATGGGTGAGATATTGACTTAATGGCAGGACGACGCTTATCTCAACAACGGTGACGCGTATACCTTGGACCTGTCTAAATTCAAAGCGCTCTACAGCACGGCCAATGCCAACGGAGAGTTCACCCTTGACATCCTCCGCAACCACAACAAGCAAGTTCATGACTATTCCGTCCAGCACAACCCGTACTTCTTCTCGGCGCCGTTCGCCGGTCTTGTTCCTCCGATCGCCCATCATTTCGTCGTCAACTTGATGTCGAACCACTCCGCCGCAAGGCCAAACGGGTTTCTCACAAAGGCAGTTCTGAAGTCGTTTTTCGCCATTTCAGGGCCAGACAACAATCTCGTCTACAACAAGGGCCAAGAACGCATTCCACTCAACTGGTACCGTCGCCCGTTGACGAACCCCTATGACGCCGCTGCTGCAGCCGTAAGCCCTCCTGCTCCTTCCATATCGTCCATCACACTAAGACATCTGTAGGCCGACGTCGCCATCCTCGCAACAAAATACCCCGACATCGTCGAAGTCGGCGGCAACACCGGCACCGTCAACTCGTTCACCGGTGTAGACGTCGGTAACATTACGGGTGGTGTATACAACGCGAAAAGTCTCCTCGTGGGCAACAACGCAGCTTGCTTTGCTTTCCAAGCCGCACAGCAGGCTATTCCTGGTGTCTTGAGCGGACTCGTGGCCGGCATACTCACGCCAGTTCTGAACCTCGTCAACAACGCCATCAGCCCGGTCACGAGCTCGCTCAATTGCCCTGCTCTGCTCACCTTTGATCAGAGTAAGTTCAATCAGTACCCCGGGTACAAGTATCACCCGAAGATTTAGACATAGCGGATCCTTGGTTCCGTTGGCTGTCGGGCGTCGGTGAAGCGGGTTACGGCTTGTTGGACTCTCATTGAGGATTGGATATGGAGGAGTGGAAGTATATGGAAATTGTAAATCGAGGAAATAACGTGTTTCAGCTCTTTAAATCCATGGAACTCCTCGCATTTGAATGAATCTTTGTTTTAACTGCGAATCCTGGATTAAAACCATGATTTACTGAACGTAAACATGTGCCGCTAAATATTTGCGCATTAGTCTCCGAGAAACCAGTAGTCAGCTCGAAGGCTATCGTAGCACGACAGGAGTTGTAAATGCAAAAGGAATTCAAAGAGCCTAAAGTGCACTCGTTTGAGGACGCCTAGCAGTGTTAGAGCTAGAATTTCCTCAAGTGACTGCAAGTCCGATGGCGTAAAGAACTCGAGGTCAGGTGCGCGAAGGACTGTGACTATCACTCGGGTTGTAACAGCTACAACCTAGGATCAACAACTCATACGGTTCACGGTCACCTACGTACAGACTTGGAGTTGCTGGCATAGTAGCTGCCT